AAGCAGTGTTAGAATAAGGTGTATATGAATGTTTCTCGGGAGTGACTCCAATACACATTCACTGTTTCATAGAATAGTTTTCAAATGAACATCTTAAGTCACCTTGTGATTACTCGTTTCATTTAGCATGGCCTGCGAAAACATCCGTTTCTCCTCGCTCTTCGCCGCTGGGGACGTTTCGCGCGGAGGAACGTCTGCGATTCAGCGGCACAAATTCCATACTGATGACGCAAATCAATGTTTACATGATAAATCCGGTAGTCATGGGGTTCCAAATATAAATTTGTCCAGTTTTATGTGTCTTCTGGTCGATTTTGGTAAAGTGTTGTGTTCATCAGACAACGAGCTCCTGCAAAACTCAAATACGTCTTCTAGAGAAGGCCATGTTCCGCAAATATTGACTGTTTTGTTAAGGCCGGTTTACACGCTACGATTTGTCGGCCCGATCTGTCGGCCCGACAGTGTCGGAGCACAAATCGTACGTGTATTTTAACACCCGATCCAAAGGCCCGACTTGAAGAATGTTTTGTAGCCCTCGTTCTTTCTTAAAGCGGTGTTTTTAAACCGCATGCGCACTGAATGTTGCTCTCAAAAGAGAAAAATGGCTGACTATCACTGGGCGCTATATTCATCATTAGCAGCAGCAACAACGTCATTGCTGTTACTTGCTGCAGCATTATTAAGAAACAAAAAGAGACGAAAAAGAAAAACACGATGTGCTTGGGTGAAAAATTGGCATCGAACTGAAGCCGGGGCATTTCACCAACTTATGGCAGAACTGAAGGTCAGCGATCCTTATTCGTACAGAAAGTATGTTCGCATGGATGTGGAAACATTTGAGGTAGCGTTTAAGTACATCAACTACCAGTAATTTTACTGTATAAGAAGAACAATTATGGCGATGGTAATAGACACAGCTAAACAGAATAATCGCCAGTAGTTTGCGTTTTGTTTAATTATTAAATTGTCTGCTTTGATTCTTTGACACGACGTTCATTTTTGGTCATTTGTCGTTACAGTGTAATCAGTGAAGATCTAAAGGACACCAGTTTTCTAACCGTCAAATTAAGCTCTATCTCTATTTTTTACTTGTTTATTTACTTATTTACTTATTTATCTATTATTGTAGGTTCTGTTGGAAAAAACTACTCCTTATTTGCAGAAGCAAATCACAGTTATGAGAAAGCCCATTTCCGCAGCAGAATATCTTGCTGCTACACTTCGCTTTTTAGCTACTGGAGAAAGCTATTCAAGCTTGGAATTTCAGTTTAGAATAAGTAAAAGTACCTTGAGCAACATGATTCCTTATGTATGTAATGTCATATATACTGTGTTAAAAGATGACTATTTAGCCTGTCCACAAAGTGAGTTGGAGTGGCTTAACATTGCCAAGGAATTTCAGGATAGGTGGCAGTTTCCAAACTGTCTAGGTGCCGGTGATGGAAAGCACATTCGTCTACTTTGTCCAAGCAACAGTGGATCAGAGTATTACAACTACAAAGGTTACTACAGCTTGGTACTCATGGCATTTGTAGGCCCTGAATATCAATTTCTTTTTGTGGATGTTGGATGCCAGGGAAGCATCAGTGACGGTGGCGTATTCCGCAAAACCTCTCTGTGGAAAGCATTGGAGGAAAACAGTATTTATCTTCCTCAAGCAAAACCACTGCCACAAAATCCTGATCCTGTCTTTGAAGACACCAGTGATATAGACATTGACTACTTTTTTGTTTGTGATGATGCGTTTCCCTTGGGACTGCACCTTATGAAGCCCTACTCTAAGCGGCAGTTGTCAGAAGAGAGGAGAATCTTTAACTACCGGTTATCACGAGCTAGAAGAGTTAGTGAAAATGCATTTGGTATATTGGCTGCTAGATTTGGTGTTCTTCACACAATGATGCGCCTCGGTCCTGATAAGGCAACCAAAGTTGGTCTGGCTTGTTGTGCACTTCACAACATGCTACTTCGCAAATCTTCCTGTTCCTACTGTCCCCCTGGTAGCATGGATTATGAAAATGAGAATGGTGATGTCATTACTGGTTCATGGAGAGAAAGTGCCAGCAGCAATTCAAGCAATTTCAGATCAATGCCAAAATGTAAAGAGAGGAGTCCTAAGAATGCTGAAGATATGAGAGACATAATTTGCTATTATGTAAATGGACCAGGTGCTATCCCCTGGCAGTGGAAGGCTTTAGTAGTTTAATTTTCTAACAGTGCAAACTTTAGGGTTTCTGACAATGACAGGAAGAATTCTTTGATGGTCAGGAAAACATTAAATAATTTGAGATGTCTTTTTAGAGAAATTCTTAGTTTATGTAGAAAGGAGGGACAACAATTGATTTTACTGCAAGTTCCTCTCACAGTATTTTGGATTTGTTATCTTTCAGAAAGTAAGTGCAATTTGGACCGTGCTAACTAGTACTTCCAAGGTAAACAAAAACATATAAGAGTCAGCATAGACTTGAGTTAATGGGTTTGAGATTTTATCTTAAGTATCCTGTTAAAAATTAGTAACAAGATTTTGTGGTGTTATCATTCATTCAAAGTCACAAGTCGTTTTTGTACAATTAGGTCATTTTAAAAGATGCTTTTGATGAGAATGTTTTGTTTGGAAATTTCATGTGAGCTAAACAATAAGGTCATATTATCAGGGTTTATTGTAGAAACTGGCCTGTGAAGGCTGAGTGGGCCCCCTTCTGGAAGTTTAGGGAGCTCCTATTCAAGAAAGGGGGCCCAAGAAGGCCCCTTCCCCCCCCCAAAAAAAAATTGACTTCATACAGACTATTCAGTGAAACCCATGACTAAGGATCATGTTGTTTAAAATTTTTTCTTGCGCTGTACATTTATTTTTTAAACTGCTTCCCTGACTATATCAATGCCTGGAAGAGGCTATTCTGACACACTCCTTTCCATGAATGCACAACAATAAGAACGTCTACCCTTCTTGCCACTGATCTATGGTGGGTAGCTTTTTTCAAACTTTACTACCGAATTGTGCTTGCTACTTTACAAAAATCTGTTTTGTTGTCATAACTTGAATAGCAGGAGTGCTACTTGTATTGACAGGAATGTAACGTTTGACGTTTAATGTCATTTTTTTCGAATAAAGTTTGATTTTGTATTGCTTTAGAGATTCCTAAGTAATAAACACTTTTCACCAGCAATGCTGAATTACCGGCAAATTATGGTGCAACACTGGGCTTTGGTCAATTAGTGGAGTTAGCGCTATATAAATTATGTTATGTATGTGTTAAATTGCAAATTGAAAAGCTGCAATCTTGGGAACATGTTTTTCAATAGATATAGCATCAACTTTAATTACTTCAAATTACTTTTATTTCATGAGGAACATTAAGCTCTTATCTTCCTAGTAACTTTCAGGGTTTCATTACAGATTAACAACATTGCTCCAATAAATAGCACTGTAAGCAAACAAATTCATCAGATATATCCTTCTGATAACAATAACAATAATAACAACAATAACAATATCAACAATGTTCAAAGTGTAGCTACTTTACACCTTTGGATGGGAATGCTGTTTTGTCTGGATACTGAGACAGCTTAACAATAGAACTTATTCTGAACAAAACTATAAGATGACAAATGAACTATTTACTCTTTCTTTTGCCAAAATAATGTTTCCTAAAATCATTGGTAGGTATATTGAGGACCACCCAAATTGTACAGTTGGTAAGCAGGCTGTTCATGGTGCTGAATCTGATGTGAAGCTTTAGCGAACATAACATTTTTAATTAATACTTGAATGTCAAGTTTAAGGGATTCTTTCTCTTCTCCTTCTGGTAAAGTGCTTAACTTCCGTGCAATCATTTGACCATAAAGTTCATCATCAGTCACCCTCACATTCCCAGCTCCACTGGGCAGTGTTGGAAATTTTTCTGCAATTGCCTCAGCTGCTTGGACAATTTTTTCTTCAGCACTCAGTTTAATTTTTTTCCCTTTTTTATTGGTGATGGGAGTAATGACAGATGAATTACTGCCGTCAGAGTCAGTGGTGGCATCCAAATTAACTACCAGGTTTGAAATACTCTCTTTTTGACCAATATGGTCCTTCAGCCACTTCAGAGATTCATACCATGGCCATGATGACTTGAATGCTTGCACAGCTCCTGAACCAGACTTGGGTTTGGTCTCACATTCTTTACCATACTCCTTGCCAAAATAAGTACGGAGATTTTCAATTTTGTTTTGCACATCATGATCTAAACAAATAAAACATAAATACTAAATATATAATAATTAAAAGGGCAAATTTGACTTTGACCTGGTCTGGAAGAGATGCTGACAGTGAGCCAAAATGGACCCCCCCCCCCCCCCCCTATACACACACACACAAACAACCAAAGATTTTGGTAAACTAAGTAAATAAAAAAAGAATCACTATTATGTCTTCCAAAATGACTTGTTTATTCTGCTTCTGTCTCTCTGTCTTTCTTTTTCACCAGGCAACTTACGTTAATGAATCATGAAGCCTGGTTCTACTTCTGCAATAAGTAAGATAAAGCAAAATGACATTCACACTGTGACAAGCACAGGCACAATGCGACCTACACACAAACAGTAAGACTAAACTCTTATTCTCAAGGTTGTATTTATACACCTTATTCCGAGCGACGATTTTGCTTTTCCTTCGTGTCCCATGTCAATAGGCAACTTTCGATATATTGAAATTCTGCATGACAACGAGTCTTAGAGGACACAAACAAAGAAAATGAATAAACCATGATTATTCATGTTTATTCATTTTCTTTGTTTGTGTCCTCTAAGACTCGCTATCATGCTGAATTTTAATATATCGAAAGTAGCTTATTGGCCCTTGTTGCCTCGTTTTCAGTTAAAAATTCTTTTAAATTCTACAGATGCGATCGAGAAAAAGAGGGCAAATTAACATGAATACACATGTAAAAAAATAATAAAGTTACCGCCATTTTGGAATAAGGTGTCTTTCCCAATTGGAAACCAGGCTTGAAGATCAAAGAATACACTGTGTAAAAAAAACTGTATGGAAATTATTCTACGTTGATAAACTTTGTGCCATGTTAAACTCTCTGCAAAAACAATTTGATTTTGTACAACAAAGAGGCTTCACAGTTCGGTAGTTTAGCCACAAAAGTGATTAACTTTTTTATCTGTCACACCAACAAGAATAAAAATAACTTAATATTTCCATAAGTTTACAGTTTCTGGCTTACCGGTGATTGCTTTGGTGCTGTCGACCTCTTTGTCAAATCCAAGTTGTTCATTCAGTGATCTGGCTATATGCGTTCTCGCAATCTCTCTTTTATTCTTGTCATGGTAATCTTTACTCCCCTTGTCAAATAGACACGGATATTTAAACCATTCACTTATCAGAAGGGAGATTTCTTCCTCTTGGAAACTGCGCGACTTTGGCCTCTTCGGAGTCTTCTTGTCCGCCATTTTGATTGCTTCTGATTTGTACGCATGCTCTCTGCTCAAAATTTTGATCGACATGTCGGCTTCTTTGAAAGTGTCGGCCCGACTACACAAAAATCTGTTGCACTGCAACAGATTTTCTGAATCGGGCCGATTTTCGTTTTCACGAATCGGCCGTAAATCGGGTGTCAAAATACACGTACGATTTGCGCTCCGACACTGTCGGGCCGACAGATCGGGCCGACAAATCGTAGCGTGTAAACCGGCCTTTAGAGATTCTTCGTGTTTACATTTGACCTTTGTGGCCTTTTGTCTTTTTTCTGTCATTAGTAAACAATAGCTAAAACAATGTAACTACTCCGTCGACCAATCAGCGCTTCTGACCGGATTCCGGATAGATTTTACGTCATCAGTATGGAATTTCTGTCGCTGAGTCGCAGACGTTCCTCCTCGCGAAACGTCCCCAGCGGCGAAGAGCGAGGAGAAACGGATGTTTTCGCAGGCTACATTTAGCAAAGCCTTGTGATTAACAGCCTTGCAAGTAACAGTTTTAACGTGTAGTGATTGGCCACAGCAAGTCCTATAATAAGTATTTCTTCACGCGCTAAGGTGGAAAATAAACTAGGTATACCTATCGATAGAGTGCCAACGAGTAAATCATGGGTATTTTCCTTGGGAATAATATTCCTTTTTTTTCCCATTTGACCGTTTCTTGGTCCCTTACTGTTGCAACGATTATTTTCTTGAAAAGTTCTCAGATTCAGTCTGGTGGCTTTACAAACCTGCTATGTAAAAGTGTGAAGTGCCTTGAAAGAAAAAAGTCAGCTTTGCAGAGGAAGCGATCGGGAAGATTATTAAGTCCAGCTACAAACGTACTGTCCGTTCGGTTTCACATTTGTTGATAAATATTTGCACAGTTTAATCATTTAAACCTCCTTTCAAATTTCCCGAGGCTTTTTGTTATCGGATTGAAACTTAGAATGATTCGCTGGGCCATCTGAAATGTTTCCAAGGACATGCGATGTACGGCACGTAGGTATTTAATTTTAGTTCATTATTTTTATACTGAACTCGGCCAGGTTTCGAAAAAAATGGCGTTGTTTTCTTTTCCTTTGTCGTTCGCTTTAGGCTTGTAATTCGTTTTTGTTCTCATTGTTTTTGTTTACTGGTTAGATTTTTTCCCCAACACCAGATTTTCCAACAGAAGCGACTGCATTCTTCGTGTCAAGCTTTCCTTATCTCCTCGTGTAATCTGATCCTTTTTAGTGGTGAGAATATTGCTCGCTGCACATAGAACACTTTTGCTGTTTTACAAACTTCTCTTCGTTAAAACTTAACATTATTGCCCCAAAAATTAATAGAATATATCAAGTGCTCATGTCTCTTGACTGCAGTGGCCGGGTTTGACGAAAAAATTCAGGTAAATAAACACCGGAAGTCACGACGGCGGGAAGTGTGTGAAATTTTGTTTGTTATTCAACTTGAGCCCGTGCACCAGGTACTGCCTTTTGATTGGTTCACAACTGACCACTTGGTCTCAGGGGAATCTACATTACATTAGGTTACACTTTTTTCAGCTCAATCGAGAATTTTTCTGCCTATTGCCCAGTCTTACGCGGCTCTATTCTGCTGCCGCCTCGCCATCCGAGTCGGATGGCTCGTTGGCAATAACTTTAAACGCTAAGGCATAGGGTTCTAAATGTTTTAAGAAATACACTACTGTATTGTTGTTCTATATTAAAAAGTCAAATCTGTTTCAACATTTGTTCTTATCTCAATCAATACCGCCGTAATTGCACATTCTCTGTAACAGTTTTCTTGATAGCATACGGGCCTGTAACCATTGAGAGGTACTGTATTTACTCGATGCGGCATTTATTCTTGGGTTGCACGTGACGTCACCAAAAATCAAACTAAGAAACTATCGATTCTTCTGAGTTTCTACTTTCACGAGGTATTACAGTACCTAAACACCTTTACATAAACAAATTTTTGGTTCGAAAGGGTTCTTCGTTTTGCGAGAGAGGACGCTTGAATTTCCAGGCTTTTGCGTGACGCGGCATTTAGCTGGCGGCCGGTAAAGCTCTTATGTGGGTTAAAAACATTAGCGATTTTGGGAGATTTTGCAATCTAAACATCCCTTGTCTCAGAATAAATATTACTGTAATCTTTATGAGTTCCTCAAGCGAAGAACTCACGCATTAGTAGGAAAACTCGAAAACACATGTTTCTGTTGGTATCCGGCGGCCATATTGGTGTTCCTGAGAGGAACACCAACATGGCGTTTCGATACAAAGCTTTATAAATTTAGGTAAACCGTTTTTCCCAATATCTCGCATTTGAAATATTTCACAGACCTGATTCTTGGCAAGGGTTTTTGCATATTTATCTTTTTCAATTCCAAGATTCTAGTCCTTCTGTATTGAATGGTTTACATTTTTATTTTTCATTGCGTGACAGTGCAAGCCGAGAATTCGAGGAAGGCCTAAATGTCAACATGAAAGTTCCAATGTCACGCTTTTTTTAGCTGAGATAAAAAAAATATCGTCTGGATGGTGTAGATTACAGAGTTGATCCGTTTTTTTCTTGTAATCTTCCAATAACCGTCGCATTCTTTTCGTAAGAAGCGGCGTCTATCGGTAATTTTGCTTCCACTGTGGTGTTCAATCGAGTAAATACGGTAATTGTACAGATTATAGGTAGTGACTAGAAAACAACAGACCAACCTTTCCTCCAGCAGCCTTTGCCATCTACGAGCTCCCCAGTCCTATTATTTAAAGTCAACTTTACAGAAACACCATCATAGGGCTCTTCAAACCCGTAATCCCGACCCAAAATTTCGTGTAATCCCTTCGTTCCGAAGGTTATTTTTGGTGTCGCACCTCCCACGCATACTTTCAATCCCGAATCTTGCCCCGATTGAGGACCGATTCCGCTTTAAAATCCCGAATACCGAGCTTCAAATAAGGGAAATCCCGCATTCCGAAAAACCTATTGAGAAGCCTCAGTTAAGTCAGACATGTAGTAGTTTGTGCTCACCTTTGGTGACTGCTGAGAAGTCTGGGATTCAGGCGCGGCATATATCCTGGCTCCCGGATTAGACGTCATGTACTGGCGCATGAAATTTGCTGCCCCGTAATCTGACAGCTTAGCTCTCCAGCAATCATCGCGTCTCCATAGTAACACATTTGAACTACTGATGTCGCGATGAATGATGGGGAATGGCTTGTTAAGGTGAAGATAGTTTAGTCCCTTGGCGACATCTAAAGCGATGCAAACCACTTCTTCGTGGTGCAACGCGCGCTGAGATAAAACGTTTCGTAAATCAGTGTCGAGTAGTTCAGTTATGAATAACGGACTGCCATCGTCGTTAGTAGCGCCAATAAACTGTAGTAAATGAGGATGCCGACAGCGCGAAGCAATACTCATTTCTCGTTCGAACAGTCTGCGGTTATGAGGCGAAAGAATCAGATCGTGAATCTGCTTAACAGCTACCTGGCAACCACGAAACGTTCCTTCGTACACCTTGCCCCAGGCTCCAGCTCCCAAATTCTTTTCACTCAGCATAACCTCATCACGTCTGATGATCCAGTCACGTGGTTCAAGACGCCTATACTCGGCCAAGGCCTCCTGGGCTGCAGCGACCGCTGACTGCAACTCCCGTAGTCGGTGCTCGCTTTCCGACACTGTTCGTTCACTGTCGCGGATTCTTTGCTGGTAAATTTCTCGTTCTCTTTCCAGATTTTCTCGATCCTGCTGTAAAGTGATTCTTTCCTCAGTCAGTTCTCGTTCAGTTGCAATTCTCCTGTTTCTTTCCTCTTCAACATGAATTTGCATATTTCTTACCCGTTCCTCTAAACCTGACTTGAGCTCGCGTTCTTGCTGTAAAAGTTGCGATTGCTCTCTAATTGTATCCTCTTTTGTTTGAACATCTTGTCGACTTGTCTCCCTTAACAGACGTTCGTTTTCTAACCTTCTTTCTAACTCAGCGCGGGTCTCCCTTCCTTGACGTAGTTCCTCTTCAAGTCTAAGTCTTGCTTGTTGTTCGTCAGCTAAGGTTTCCTGCAATCCGTGAAAGTTGGTTTCCTTTTCTCTCAGCTGTTGCTCTCGCGTGTTTCTCAAGACTGTCTCTTCATCCAGCGCTCGGCTCACTCGCACCAAATCGCTCTGAATTTTCCGCATACCCGAGTTTACTTCACGCTCCCGGTCAAGTTCTTTCTGAAGCTGCCTCACTGAAATCCTTTCTTGTTCCAACTCGTTACTTATCAAATCTCCATTAACAGCTTGCTGGGTTAAAATCTGATCCTTCTCATGCAACGCTGTTTCTAAAATTCTGACCCTTTCTAATAGCCGTTCCTTATCAGCCGAATAACTAATCTCTAAATCTCTCATTCGCCCGAGATTGCGCTCTTTTTCCTCTTCCACCTCGCGCAATTTTCCTCTTTCAAATTCCAGTAATTTCTGGTGTTGCTGTAAGCTCTCCCTCTGTTCTTTGCTATGCTGATCGAGTAAACTTATATGTGATTCCATCTTCTTGTGATGAAGTAAGATATCTGGTTTGACTGTTTCAGAACCTGTTAGCGCAGGCTTTTCACTTTCCGTGAAAGCAGAAGCTTTGCGTCGCCTGCTCCGTGTTTGTATGACGCTATCCAAAGCGTTAGATCTGTCCATATTTTTGCCTTCTGCGGACCCAAGGTCACACTCAACCATGCCACCGGAGGAAGCCACCGATAGTTTGGTCTGTAAAACAAACATAAACTTTCTTTTTTAGTTAAGCCTGGTGCTCACTAGCACATAAGCATAAGGACATAAGCACACACAGAATGGCATATTTGACTCAATTCTCGATACCAGCTCTCCTCAACCCGATGACAAAGAAGATGGCGGACGAAAAGTCTGCCATATTGTTTTTGATATGTTCGCATGAGGTCTGGGTCAAAGTGACCTATGATTGGTCCACGGCGTTGTGCTTATGTCGACACAGTTTTCACTAGTCAAACCTACGACATAAGCATAAGCACAAGCAAAAGAGGAACGAACTTACCCGTTTTTCTTGTGCTTGTGTTTATGCTTATACTTATGCGCTAGTGAAAACCAGGCTTTAGTGAACATGACAGATTATGTCAATGGAGATTAACTTTGATGGAGAAGGGGATGGAAATATATGAAATGACTCACATTGATCGGGAATAGGAGATTGATACATGTGATGTAAAGGTAAAGGTGCACAAGAGCCAAAGGCCCAAAGGACAGGTTTACTTAGCATGCAGCATGCCTAAGAGTATTGCTACTCCCTCTGGACGGGATGCTCGTCCATCGCAGTGTTACCCCCCAGCAGTATGTCCCCGGTGCCCATATTTTTTACACCTGGGTGAAGAGAGGCAAAGTGGAGTAAAGTTGCTTGCCTAAGGAAGCAAAGCGACTGACGAGGCTTGAACCCCGGACCTTCAGATCCGGTATTGGAGGTGTTAACCGCTCGCCTACACAGGCCTCCATATGAGATAAGACTGAACGATATTGGGTGCACATGAAACTTGCTCTGTTAGCTATCCAGACTTCTTACTATGTTATTGAGGCCAATAAATAAATGAAATACCTATCGTTTTCATGATGTCTGTGTGTGCGTGTCGTGGTGGTGGTGTGGAGTGGGGGGAGGGAGGGAGGAGGTTGGGCAAGTCACGAATGTTAAGGCTGCGTTCACATGGCACAAGACGAATTTTCGACTGGTTAAAAATTTAACCGGACAGTTCGTTCACACGTGACCGTTTAATATTTTGGCTCTGTTCACACGGAGTTGAACGATAGGTGTCTAAATTTTCGTCCGCACGAATTTTCAACCGTGCCGTGTGAATCTAGCTGAATGTATTCAGGTGGGAACGCTACTCTTTACATCTACTCGGAAAACTGACGGGAGCAACAGTCACTCTATCGTTTGAAGCTTAATCTCCGGTATGCCTGTCTTAGCGGTGGCCAATTAACCTAATTATCGACACAGCTGATGATGAACCAAGTTTGATGCGCATCAGACCAAACACTCAAACGTCGCACAAATCAGAGCTGTCAGAAATATAACCTGTGAGCAAGCACTTTAAGTGGTTCTCTCCCCCGCTCCAAGAATCCGGCGGAGTTCCTCAGAGAACGTTTTTGTAGGCTACAAGAAATACTGTTTGGAGAAGGTGAATGCCATAAATTCAAGTTACATTTAAGGTTGAATGAAGAGGATATTCTCGCGCGTGGCCATTTTTCCCTTTGTAAATTAACTTCTCTTCGGGTGCAGAGATGGGTGGATATCACGCTTGGCTACAGAACGTGAGATTGCACAAAAGGAAGGTGGCCAAAGATCTTAGTCTTAAATAAAAAAAAAAATGAAATTCCTTACCGGAGCAGACTTTGATCCCTCGTCAAAGAGCTTTTTACGAGCACTTTTGCCTGCAAGAATACACAATTAGACTATATAGATCCCTAGTAGTCAATCCGTGACTCGTTTACCGTGTTTCAAACTCCGTGTTGACCACGTGTCTTACCAGTAAAATGACTACACCAACAGGTTACGAGTCTCGCTGCCCACCCACCCCTCCCCTAAGCCAACATTAACACTTACTTCTCATGAAAATGAATTATTTCATATATACTTCACACTTGCTTCTCACTTAGGGCAAAATGTTGGCTTAGGGGAGCGGTAGGTGGGCAGTTCCAGAAACGTATAATGATCGGGAGTTTTAAAAGGGTTAGTCACTGTACCTTTAGGAGTTAATATTTTTCGTTGCTCTTTGCTGATTGGACTGGCCCGCTTTGGTGACTGTGCACTTGAAGCTTCAACTGAAGAAGAAGGCTCATCCTTCTGGTCTAGAATGTCCTGAGCTTCTTGTGGGCTTATGTTCAAAATAAATAACGATTTAATAATATTAGCACTTCAGTTAAAGTATGGTTGTTTATATTGACTACGTCTTTGGTGACCGGCCAAAAAGGGTGAAGTTAAGCAAAAAGCTGGTTGACTAAAATATGTCTGCTTGGCTTTTACTTAGCTATATCACTGTAGATGCTAAAACATTTTACCAAAAGAGTTTGTTTGAATGGTCACACCTTTGTTTGAATGGTCACATCTTAGGAATAAATAGATCCGCATTTGTCTTTTGGCGTGGTGCAGAAGTTGTAATAAGATGTAACAGCAATGAGAAAAAGGTGTTCGCAAGAAATATGGCAAATTTTACCCAAGCTCACTCCAAGTCAATTGATCAGCAAAACGATTCTGAAACTAAAAAAACAAAAGTACATCATGACATGTATCATAAAAGGCATAATAGATTTCAATACCGGTACTTCACATTTAAACTAATCACATATAACTGTTGTGAAAACTTCCAGTGTTTCTTTCTGCCTTTAATTGTATTTCTTTTCTTTTTGTAATAAGTATTCAGTATCGCCTTTGTCTTGTCTTGCCCCACCCAGATTAGCTTAATAGCTATTAACGGGGCATCCAATATTGTTAGACTTGATTTTTTGTTACTGAATAAATTGTTGTTGGAGGTGACTGGACAAACTGGGGGGAGCTGCAAGAGCACGGAGGAGATAACCACCCTGAGAACCTCAGTGGGGAGTCTTTTGCAGATACCTACCAAGACACATCCAGAGGGAGGGAGGGGTGGGGGCAAAAATAGCTAAAAACTACTGCACAAGAAGGCAACTTAAGTGAAATGACCGACCTCATGAAAAGGAAATTTTACGTGTCTTCTGGTTGATTTTGGTAAAGTGTGGTGTTCATCTACCAACAAGCTCCAGCAAAACTCAAATGCTTCTTCTAGAGTAGAGTATATTCCACAAATATGACTGTTTTGCTAGAGATTCTTCGCGTTTACATTTGACCTTTGTGGCCTTTAGTCTTTTGTCTGTCATTCGTAAACAATAGCTAAAACAATGTAACTACTCCGTCGACCAATCAGCGCTTCTGACCGGATCTCGGACAGATTTTATGTCATCAGTATAGAATTTTTGCCGCTGAGTCGCAGACGTTCCTCCGCGCGAAACGTCCCCAGCGGCGAAGAGTGAGGAGAAACGGATTTTTTGGCAGGCTAGGAGACCCCTAGCCAGCATTGTTTCATGTTTAACCTGGCCTACTGGTAAATTACATTAGCCACATTTAATTATTATTGACACTGAAAATGTGAACTACAACTAAAACAAGCGAATACTCACCAGTTCAGTTAAATCAGCCTTAATGTCCCTTGGCACAACATGGTAATTCATAACAAGAACAATGTACCTTTTCTTGACGTCTGTGAACAAAATCAATGGTTTCATGTCATTAACAGGCACCCTAAATTGTAATTAAAACCAAGAGGATTTCCATCCTGAAGGTTAAGAAGAATCAATAGGCAGAATTTCTCTCAAGTCATCATGCCACTTACACACTGTAAGCTGCAGTAAAGTGAATCCAGGAAATTCCCTCAAGCATTTATTATAAGAAACTACCAGTAGTAAAGATAATGGGTTCAATATCACAATAAGTAAAGCAGGTACACTGATCCTAAAGGAGTCCAAGCCCCATCTGGTTGTTCAAAAGATGGATAGCGCTATCCACTGGATAAATCGCTATCCAGCACATAAGTATTGGGGAAACCAATAATTTTGCACCATCCAGTGGGTGGTGATTTATCCAGTGGATACTGTGCTGTCCACCTTTTGCACAACTGGTGCCAAGTTCACTGTTGGGTCTTTATAATAAAGATATTCTTGGGTGTGGGAATGTGCTGCTGCTACATCATGGCCACAAATTCGTCACCACATCATCCTTACCTCATAATAAACCACATTCATTTTCTTGTTTAAAGCAGTTCTAGACTACACATGGGCAATTTAATTCCCTACCCTACCTGGACATTTGGGTACAATCACTCTCGTCCCAGACTGGAAAGGCTCTACTTAGGGGTACGGCTATACAGCTATTTCGAGAAAGGTTGTCGAAAAAACTGTGCACACGACAATCCCGAAAGGTAATATGGGATATGATCAATACACTGTTCCTGACGACTGTAGCTGTCAAACCTACTTTTGTTGCTTTCCTTTAGCCCTCGCAAACATAAGTCCATGGCCTCTCGTGCCATTCTTTGAAATTTCTTTGAAAAACAGTGAGCTAAAAACCACCCACAATACCTTTCGGGATTGTCGCATGCACTTTTTCTGACAACCTTTCTCGAAACAGCTGTATACATTTACATGTAAAGGTTACTGTGTACCTTGACTCTGAGGATCTAAAAACTCGCCCCTTTCTTTGCATTTTTCTTGAATAGCACTGGCTCCAGCAGCAGATGGTTTAACAACCAAAAGCAAAGGTGACCCACCAAAATTAACCTAAGTCAATTAAAAAAATTACTTTCTTAAAATGTGTATAAAAAGGCTTCTGGCATAAGTGATTCAAACAATGATTTAACCTGGAAACTCTATAAAATCTAACATGAGATTCTCCCGATGATAAGATAAGATAAGAATTTTATTTTAACAAGATGGGAAGATCAGCACTGCTGGTGGGGTTATGCATACAACAGTTATGAGAAAAATAAGAATAATACTAAACAAATGTATAATTAAAAATTGAAAACTATTAAAAATATTTGTAACCGATATCTCTGTTTTTAGTTGTAGCTAAAATAGGTTCAAAAATAATTCATGTACCCTGCACTCTGTTAAATCTTTGCAAGGAATTCTGAAATGATAAGAAGCCCTTTTGCATCCATTTCCTAAAAAATAAACACACACCTTTACATTAATATACTTCAGTATTATGCATAGTTCAATTCGACCTGTTACCAAAATCCTGTACCAAAATCACTGCAGTTGAATGCATCATGGGTGAATTGACATTAGTCGAACACCTTAGTGAACCATGGAAACTGGTGAAACTGTACCCCTATTGGGACTACATGTACTCAGATTTTTTTCTTCTAAGCCACTTGTGTCACTCTATGAAAAAAATTTCTCATGGTGAATAAATTATTTGGAAGGATAAGTAAAATAAGAAAATATTAATATTAAAATAACAATTATCTTACTATACCTTCAGCTGTCTCCATTTCTATAAAAACTTTTTCCGCATAAATCTGCAAAAATTTTACGATATTCAACACTTACTTGCTAAGGACAAAAATGCCAGGGGGGGAGCATAAACAAAAATTGTTCTGTGTAAAGTTATATGATTTTCTCTCTCACAAAAATGCCCTATTTTAAATTCTGTGGCCTGCATTGTTTTAATTAAGCACCTACAATAGTAAAAGCACCGAGAACAGCAAAAAAACAAACAAACAAACAATAGGTTTAATTAGCAGAAGAACAACTTTGCATGTGCGTCATGCTTTTTCGTACATTTCTTGCCATCATTGCACGCCTATGACATGAAACTGCCTCATTTAACATTTTTTGCAAGTGATAAACTCAAAACAATAACTTATAAGTCAACTAATAAATTTATTAGTCTGTCGTTGCATGAGTTCTCCAACACCATATTGGGGGGGGGTGAGGTTATATTTGTGTACCTTAACAGGTGCAGATGCTTTACCAACCAGCTGTCCAATCTTAATAGTGCTAACATGAAGTACTATGTAAATTGCTCTCCTCTTCTGTGGTATGCTAGTTGTAGATGTAGCCTTCTGATCAGGTGCAGTTGTTACTGTTTCCTTTGTTTGGTTTACAACTGGCACACTTGACTCCTCTTTGGTTTCCTATACAATTCACCAATACAATAACGCTGTTACACATTCAGTGACAATATTATGGTGTTTACAGCTTCTACAGAAACTGAAACACTATGCAGTCATGTTGTGTCCACAATGTCCCTAATATCCATACGTCAGAAAAGCAATAATTCTGAAGGCCAGATACAAAATACTGAATGCATTCAGTAATTTCAGTAGCTAGTGATCAGTGTGCTACACGTACATGCCCGGGGAAGACTCCCTTATATGAGCCATATATATGTAGGTATGGGTCGCCCTAAAGGATAGGGCTTTTGCACCGTTTTGGTCTGAAAACGGGTATAGATTTTGCCCATTTTGGTATGGGATTGGGTATAGTTTACAAAGGAACTCTGGTGCCGTTGTGTATCAATGTGTACAATGTATCAATTCCAAATGAATAAGAAGAAAGTGTAATATGCGAATTCGAAATGGAATTTAAGAAATCTTTTTGTTGCAGTTTTAATCTCCCCAATGAAAGGAGTGAAAGGGTTACCAACTAGGAAGTAAACATAATAAATTTGAAAGAGGTTAACCTGCCTAGCAGACATAATCTAAACCCTGTTAGTAATGTCTATGAAGCAGTCGTGATATCCTTCTTCTGGGCCCACAACAGACTCAATGAATTACCAGAAATACATTTTGAATTTCCTCTCAACCTGATTGGCAAATTAACAGGCCAATCATGGCATGTACTGAAATCCTTGTACACAGGTTGGAACCCAGAACAACGATTCTGACGCTATTTTGTACATGGATTTAACCAGAAGTTTTGTTCTATCTGTTGGGCAGGCTAGAAAGAGTTTGTTACCATTGATTTAGTGCTGGAGGCATTTCTATTTTTTTCTTCATCAGCTGTATAATCATCAGTAACAATCTTGTGTTTTGGTGCTCTAGGCCGATCATGAGCAGATGAAATTCCTTCTGTCAGCTTAGAACCACTGTCACATGTGGCCACAGCACAGGCAGCTTCATCATTTATATCAATATCTTGGTGGTCAATGTCCATGGCCTCCTCATCATCTAACCCGCGACTGCTATGACCAGCAGCTGATGAAAACAGTGTTGCATTAAACTTGGATTCTGACAGAAAATTACTGGAATTCAGTCGCACACCATTGCCTGAAGTTTCAAAACTTGTTCCCGATTGGTAATGCCCCAAAGGGGTTTTCTCTGGGATGCCGTTTCTTACATTATGCCAGGACAGATTTATCAGGCTGCCATTTGCTGGGGGACTGCCAGGGAAAGTCTTTGCAGGACGATTTTTGTGATGTCGTGAGGAAGCGGCACCTTTGGCTGGTCGTGCTCTAAGGACATTGTTGCTGGTGTTCTTGGTAGCAACAATAACTTTCTTTGTCCCCTCAGCCTTGCTCTGAGGAAATGGCTCCATACAAAATCTATTGTTACATGTACTGGTTAATCATCAACTGGAAAGTATAAATGCAACACAATCATTACCAAAATCAGGTCCTATTTTATTATACATAAATTCATGTTGCAAGAGAGGTATTACAGTGTATGGTTCTCATATTTTGCCTCCCCTGCAGCTATTTTTTGCTACATGTTGTTAATGATTTTGTTAAAGGATGAATTGCTTACACCCTTGCCCATTCAGCAACTGCATGAGGCATCTAATTAAGAAAGCAAGAAAAACTACTTGTCCCAGACTACGATGCTGAGCCCTGGTGGTTTATGCAACACTGCCAGCAAAACTCCTTGAGTGAGGCTTTTTATGTATAGCAATCTACCGGTATTTTGAATTTTAACAGTTTTGACCCTTCTGTCCTCTTGAAAATAAAAACAGGTTAACCTATTCATAAACTACATACAAAAAAGTACTATCCCTTGAATAAATTTTGTTTTATCATATAAAGAAAAGAAATAATGCACACACTACCGTCATCTTTTACCAAAAATAAACAAAAACCAACAATTTTTATCGTCACATACTGCATCTACGTATATTTTTGAGATAATTATTTTCAAAGGCTTAATTGTTATAAAGATGTGGTTTATCATAGAAAAAACAATTTCTGTGCACACCGCAAAAGATGTCGACGTGTAACTAGCTCATGAATTATATCGAAAGAAAAGACAGCGGTTGACGATCGTTCTTCGCGTTTACAGTAAACGCATAAGAATTATTTAAGCTTTTTTACAAGCGATGGGTTTTCCAGCTTCGATTCCTGCATATCAGTTTGCCTAGCAATTGCGGAAAGGATATTGTGCTTGTGCGAGCCTACAGATAAGAATCGTTGACTTATGTGAGGAAATTTAAATCATAAGACGAAGTTATTGTAGAAGATTCACAGGATACATAAAAGATAGTCCCAAAAAGGCAAAATACTCTTGCAAAATTCAGGAAAGAGACTCTAAATCTGACTTACGAGGAACGTTTGACCGCACAGCACACGGTAGACCGACGACGTTATGGCCATATATTACATTCTGTTAGCATTTCAACACATGATAAACAGCACATTCTATTATTGTTCAGAGAAGAAGACAAGAGACGAAACATATGTGTTTACATGGTCCGCGCAGTCGGTTAATTTAATATGCGCATTACACCCATGATGTCACCGCTGAGCTTTTGCGCGCGGGAGACTACATCATGACGAGGCTTCGCGCCCTTGAAAACGATTTCAAAATGGCGGGTCTTTGAACGGGACAACTGTTTTTCCTCCTTTTGCCGTGTATTTGAGATCGTTTCGGACCTTTCTTCTTGTTATGCTGTGAGTTAGAATTAAAAATGAGCAGAGGCCTCTTATCAGGTACGTTAGTTTTCTTCTGAGGTCAGTTTTGAAGCAAAGAGCTTGGAGAATAATACAAGGTTTTTCATGTTGTCATTTTTTCCTGATCTTTTATCGGTCACTTTCTTTCTTCTAGGCCTAGAGAGAGCTGAGAAAGATCCATACAAGGGATGGAAAACAAACAACTTTCAAGCTGATTCACCAGAGAACGAGTATGTATCAGCATCAAACAGAAAAATTTAAAATCTTCCGTCGAAGTTAAGATTGTTGAAGCATATTAAGGCCATCATATTACTTGTTTTTACATCTACAATGACGTGTTATCCTTGTGCCCAATTTAAATTTCATTTTCTGTTTTGCTTTGTCTTTGTATTGAAATAACTGACAATTTGAAAACACATTAGTTTATAACTTACACTTAACAAATATGTAGCCTGTAATGCAGGCGTATTTTTGGGCGAGCGAAAGATGCTTCCGTTGTTTATGTTCGTAATTCCGAGCCCGCCATTTTTTATATTTTAAATCAGAGGAAGATTGGGGAGAATAGAAATATGGGGAAGGGGTAAGGCCATCCCCTTTTTTTTTTTCGTTTAGCGTCTAATGCATTTCCTGATATTGGGTCGGTCAGTCGGATTGAAAAAAAAAAAAACCTAAAAAAAAAATAAATAACAAGAAGTCTCAGAAGAGGAGGCCCTGGTACCCCAGGATGACGTTAAAAGTTAACATTTACATATGTGGATTAACAAAATGCACAGTGTACTGTAAAAACTGTTCCTGTTTCTGTTCCTGTTTTGCTCTACACTGTTACTATGCTCATTTTTCAGATTAGAAGAATTATTGGCTGAAATGTTTTTTGGCCTACAGCCGACGATCAAACATTTTTCATTTTCAAAAGTGCAGAATGAGCATGGAATTTTGTTGTTCGTTCGCCAGAAGTTGGCCTGAGAATTATTAATTAATTAAGTTTTAGGCACCTGGTCGGATTCCTTGTTTAAAATTTTGGTCGCCCACGGGCAAATCGTAGGCGCCTCTGGCAACCAGGCGCTCATTAGGCGCCGCCTTGATATACTGCTCAGAACGGATTTGACTATAAAATGGATGGAAAAATTTGAAAATCTCCTTGCTTATATAATGGCTGATTGGGATGGTGCTCATCTTATTATGAAAGACTTCAACATCGATTTGCTTGACTATCATTCAACAAGAACTGTACAGTACAAGAAGATGTTAAATTACTTCAATCTCCATTATCATGTCCAGCAGCCTACATGTGTCAAAGACTAATACACTTACTAATAGATCATGTTATATCAAATGTTTCAAATCAGATTACTTAGACTAATGTTCTGCCTTGCTCGAGTGTCAGTGACCATGATACTCCATACGTTTGTATTAACATCTGTGTTAAGCGTTTTCAACCATGCTACAAGATGATCAGAAATGAAAGGGAATTTGACGAACAAAATTTTCTCTAGGATTTTTCAAAACTGCCCTTCAATCTCATCTGCAGCACAGACAACATTGATGACAAGCTGGACTTAGTTAACTCATTGTTCACCACTTGTCCAGACAGACAAAATGCCCTGTTAATAGAAAGAAGGTTTAAGTTACACGTCCTCCCGCACCATGGTTTTAATCAGACGACATCCACCACAGGGCTCAAAATTAAAAAAAATCCTCAGTTCGCCTGATGGCGACCAACTGGAGAAATATAGTCGCCAGATGCAAATTTTTACTTGCCAGTTTGTGTAATGTATATGACGCAGCTCATAGTATGGCGCGATCAAGACTTTACTAACTAATGAAAATTTGATTAGTTAGTATACACATGTAGGCTTGATGAATGTAGAGCTAAGTCATCAATAAACCGTTATTATTATCATTACTTTTTTTAAAAAATCTAACTGCTCTTTCGTCTTTCCGTCTAATTTTATCATATATCACATACAGTGTACTGTAGGGCTTTTTGTAGAGTTATATAATTTGAATCAGTATTAATACAGTGTTGTTTTGCCTGTAAGCCTCTTGATCAAAGGTGATAATGATGATTGATTTACATTAAACCTTTTGTTGGTCAAAAAAAGTAACAAGTGTCTTGAAACTTGCCAAGTTACAAAATTGATTGTGGGATAGAAACCTGTATGTATTATGGAAAGTGAAATGTACCTCTATAAATAATTGTTTTCAGTTTAGCAAACACACAATGGGTCATGATTTTATTTCTACTTTATTTTTGGTGACCTACCCTCTAATTTTTGTTTCTGCATGACTTTTGCTATGCATTATCTCACTGGGAGCAAAGTTAGTCATTCCTAGATCTCTGTCATTGTCATCAAGTTGCACATCTCTTTCTTTGCACTAAGCTAATCAATGGCTTGTAACAGTATCCCCTCCCCTCCCCTCCCCTCCCACTGGTCTCAATGTTGCTGAGTACATGCGGCTTCCTGAAGTGAAGACTTACTCGAGCTTACGACCTTGTTTGATGATTTACATTGCATCAATTGTTTATTCTAAAAGCACACTATCCAATATTACAGTATAACATTTCACCACAAACAACCAAGAATAACATTTTCAGGGGGTAACCTCCTCCACAGGTTCCATTGTCATGTTTCAGAGAACGGAGAGTGGCAGTTTTTTCTCTTTTTCTCATTCTCAGTTTCCTCACGGTCAGTGTAAACATCACCATTGGAGTTGCCTGTGGAGGAGGCTATTCAAGGGGACGGGCAGCTGTTTTTGCCCTTGGGGAGTGTGGAGAGGATTTTGCTGTTGCCAATTATAAAGTGGATGTGCTTCGCATGCGTGATTTTTGAGAAATTATAGACAAGCCAAGGCAGAACTGTTTGAATAACGTTTCTGTATTAAGTGCAAAACCAAACTGCATATTTCTTTCGTAGCTTTTGCAGCACTTTTCTGAAATTATCAGATAATGGTGACATTCTTGCACAGAGCCTCAATTATTTGTATGTTTATGCTGTTTTTTTCTTGCAGTGAAGTTTGTTTACTTGATGATGACAATGATGATGAGAGTAGTTCTTCATACAGATCAACTAAATGCCTCTCAGATGGCAACAGAAATCCAAATGTATGAGCTAGTACAATGTATTTTTAATTAATTACTGTCATAATTTGCATTTATTACATGCACATGTATCCCTGGGAACTTCTTCTTGATGCATTTGAAAGGGAAAAGAGTTGTATCCAGAAGCTTGCTGTTATGTTTCTTATTGAAAGATGTTATTGTTTATTTTTAAGATAAATTATGATTAATCACTAGTGAGAATTAAACCATATAACCAGCCATGGTGCTGCTACATGTAATAATCAGGCAATCAACACCATTGCTTGATATTAACCGGCGTGCAAAGAAAGTAGTGTCCGATAGCCTGGGGCTAGTGGACTTTGCTATTGGGCTAGTGAATTCTGTTTTTAACTTGCCCAACGGGCAAGTGATGTTTTTTGAGGAATTGGAATAACAGAAGAACTTTGAAAGCAATTCTGCTCGTCAAAAAGCTTTTGGGGCTAGTTGAAGTGACATCTGGGCTAGTAAATGCTAGCTTCAGTTTGCCCGAATGGCAAGCTGTAAAAATGATTTTCTTTGCACCCTATTAACCAACAGTAAGTATGGTTGGCATCAGTTTTAATTTGTGTTGCTGTTCTAAATACGCAATGTATCAAACATGCAAACATGGGGGGGGGGGGGGAGAAGGGTACTGGTACTAAGACGCATTTACCTTAGCACAACATTTCACATAGATTGAGGACTATCCTGTTTGGCTTATCAAGTTATTTTACTCATGAACTGTCCACTGTTTTGACAATTAGCTTTTGTACTTAATGCCAAGAACGGTACAAGCATGCTTGTGTAAGTTCAGGGCCCAGCATCTTATAGCCCAAATTGCAATATAGCTTTGCTAGCAACAGTCATACTGTAAGTAGCAGCATTTACTATTTCGGATTGCTTGATATTGGCCAATGATAAGCATTCAATATTGCGTTTAAGATTAATATTACTATTATCATGCTAGGAATTGACTAAGCTACATGTAGCATAAACTTACAATTTTTTCAGCATTTTGCTCCCTAAAGATACAGATCTGCACGTATACAGTTTTACATGTAGGTTGGTTATAAGGTTTTAGATTGATAATTTGAACTTACTTGAAGCACAAAGAGTTAAATTAGGTTTTGCAGGCAAAATCATTTCTTACATGATTGTACATGTTTTTTTGTATACAGTAAGTGTTGTCTTCCTCTTGTGCAAAGCATTTTTTGCCGTCTTAATCAAATTTTGACGTGGATATTGTGGATCAATATAGGTTTCTGAGAAACTGCCCGCCTACCCCTCCCCTGAGCCAACATTTTGCCCCTAAGTGAGAAGTGTTAATGTTATCTTAGGGGAGGGGTAGGTGGGCAGTTAATTGATCCTTGTCTTCTTCATTTTTTTTTTTTGTCATAGGACTTCCAAGCCAAAGACAATTCATATACAATTCCAAGAAAAGTAAATGCTCCTTTTGACAAGGCAAAGAAAGGTAGCTCCTGGTTCAACAGCTCATTCAACGAGAAAGACCACACACCATCAAGAAACTGCCATACAAGAAAAGTTAACACACGAATGACTCAAAGGAATGAAATTGGATACCGGGTGATGAGACAAGGGCAGTTGGGCAGGCTTAATAAAACTCCTTCATCACGGTGGAAACATGCAAGTCCACCGGGAGAGCTTTCTGCTTTGCGCAACAAACCATCAATATCACAACAAGAAAAGATTTTATCATGTCAAGGTTTGTAATAGGGTCTGTGAGATTTAGACTTTTCACAAGTTGCATTTCAGGCACATACATGTATAGCTCAGCTGGTACATGTAGAGTGGCTCTTAATGGAAACGTTTCTGGTTTGAATTGCAGTTAGTCCATCACATGGGCTAATGCTACTGAAACAATGCCCAGAGGTCATGACAAACCATCTGTAACAATTGTTTGGTTCTGTGAAAATACATGGGAACTCACCTCTTTAAATATTGTCAAAGTCATATAATGAATTTTTTCTTAGCACTGAAAGCCATAAACCAGTAACGCAAAATGTGCTTTGGGAACGATTTAAGATGGTGGACAATAGAAAACTGATAGATGCTTAACAACGTTTTATGTAGTTTTGAGTGAGGAACACAGACCTGCCTCACTGGGAAATTTAGGAGCTAAGTTCTCTGAAACATTATTCCCTCATTTTTAAGACCTATTTTTAAGCAAATCAAACTGTTGTGATATTATTAGACAACAATTTAAAATGTTTGATTTCAATAATTTTAGCGGTGTCTTAAATGTTCTCTTTCCAAGATGCGTGGCCCATAATATATACAGTAAAATTCCGAAAATAAGCCCCTCCATGTATAAGCCCCTACAAATATAGGCCCCCCAAAATCGTAACACAAAAAACCCTCCGTTAAATCGCCCCTCCAAATATAAGCCCCCCGGGTGGCTTGTACTTGGAAGTTGCCCTCGAATACAAAGTAGAACAAAGCAAAAATGGTAAATTTCCTTTCCACTACAAGCTAGCCCAACCGATTTTATAACGCAAATTTCCCTCCGTACATAAGCCCCTCCAAAAATAAGCCCCTCAATACTTTTCCATAAATTATACTGGTATTCATTTATTCATTTCCATGTGAGAATCAGATCGGATCGCAAGTTGAGTAGTTTTTAAAACTACTAATTTAATTATAGTAAACTTTCAAGCGATTGCAGACAGTAAGAAGTTTTGCTTCAGCAGCGTGCAGAGAAAGTAGTGTCTGATAGCCCGGGGCTATTAGATTTTTGTATCAGGCTAGTGATTTCTGTTTTTAACTTGCCCATCGGTCAAGTGATATTTTTTGAGGAATTTGAATAACAGAAGAACTGTGAAATCAATTCTGCTAGTCACGAAGTCTTTGGGGCTAGTTGAAATGACGTCTGGGCCAGCAGAAGCTAGCTTCAGCTTGCCCAAATGGTAAGCTGTAAAAATGATTTCTTTGCACCGTGTTCAGGCACTAAAATTTACTGGTTACTGCCTGATAAGGAGAACACTGCATGGGTTAAATGTCTATGTAGTAGTGAGTTCAACTGGTTAACGCAATCCCAAAGATTAAAGAGGTACAATATTTTGCTTGTCCAATAAATTACAGTATTGTTTCTTTTTTATTTTGCAGTTCAAGAAGCAGACACTTCTGAAAAATGCAATGGATTTGAATCAGAGAATACCGCAAGAACAGCAAACACTTTTAATTCCTTAAAAGAAGAACAAGAACATAGCAGATCAATGTTAGATTGTATCATGCAGGGAAGTTCTAAGAAAAGTCTCAGTAACACTGCACTGAATAAAGATGAAAATACAAGGACTGAGTCAACAAATTCAGACATTAATTTGACATTAAAATCGAGTTCTCCTGAACCTCATGACTCTCTAACTTCATCAAAAGATGCCTTTTCAGATGATAATTATGATGATGCATTTAAAGAACACTGTACAAAATGCATGACAAGACTTTCACAGGATAGTATGTGCCCAGCTTGTAATAAGGATATATTTCCATCTCATGCGGCAACACCACGGAAGCATCTCTCACCTGGTAGATTTTATTCATCCAAAAAGGTGCGAACATATCCGGGTACTAAAAAGTGTGGGACTGGAGTTCCTCGTTTATGTGCAGCACCAGATACAAAGCCCTCTACCACTAAAAAATCTGTTGGTTCGAGCCAAGCAACCTCTGGGAGAAAAAAAAGAAAGAATCAAAGAAAAGTGAGTTGATTTTACTTAGAGGTGTCTGAAGCATCATTTTTCCAGGAAAGACTCAACTGTTGAGAATGTACACCTGTATGGAGCAATCCTTATTACAGTCAAAGCTCTCCTTGTGACCACCCTCATAAGTAACCAGCTCTATTTACAACCACTTTTGTTAAACCCCATTTGAGCTCTTGTAAGCGATCGTGGCCACTTTTTGGATTACCCAACTGGCCTTTCCCTTTCCCTAATTATAATTTCCACATTTCTCATTTTCATGTTTGCTGACCAGTTGTTACTTGTGGATGTGTTTTCTCAGCTGTACTATCTAACTTATGCCAAAAAACATCAATGGCGGACTTCCATTGTAAATTGTTAAGGTCTTGATAAAGAGTCGATAATATTGATTTGACACAGCAATTTAATTTATCAATTTTCACCAATTTTTGTTATCAATCGATAAAAATCACTTGATTGTTGCTGATTTTTATCAGTAAGGATTAAGTTTTTATTGTTTGACTACTCCGGTAATGGTTACATAGTTTTTCAAGATACTGTTCAGGGTTGTCATTAAGAGCCGGGGGCCGGGGATTTTCCCCGGATACTAAGAGACTGGCCCCCGGCTACTTTTATTGGAAAATAGAAGAAAAATAGAACCAAAAGAAATCCCTAGCCGTTGATTCCCCGCCTACTTGTTGCATTTACCCGGCAACTTGAAATATTAGTGACAACCCTGCTGTTGAACCTTTGGTTAGAAACTACCCAAAATGCTTTGATTAAGTGGTCACTTATAAGAATGAAACAACAGGAATCTCGTTTAAGAAGAGTTCCTGAGACATCTTCTTTGTGGAAGATAATAATTTTGCATGCAATTTCTAATTTACAACATGCGTAGTTGCTTGTTGTCACCAACTTCTTAGGTGACTAGGAAATCTTAGTGTTTTCATTGAAATCCAATGCCGGGCACCCTTAATTTCACAAGTTCAGAGCACCAGCAGGCACCCTTGAATTTTTCTTAGGGCACAGCCTTGAGTATGTACTGCAAACGTAGAGATTAATGATTAATAATATAGTAGTTATAATAATAATAGTAATAATAATAATAATAATAATATTTATAGAGGGAGCCCAACTCGCCAAGGCGGTTTTCAGTGGGGCCCTCAGGCATAAATCTAACTAATTAATTAATTATTACGAAAAACTAAATTATGTTTACAAGTAAAACAAATTTAAAAATTTAAAATCTTAAAATCGATTATACAAAAAATATCAAGGTTTAAAAATTAGCTGAGATCTTTTAAAAAAGTTTTTAACTTGGAAAAAAGTTTTTAACTTGGCCTCAAGTAGTTATAATTATTATAACTACTATCACCCCAAAAACTGGTTGTGGTCTCTTACCAGAGGTAATTGTTTCAGAGAGGTTCCAACAACAGTGCTTTGACTAGGGAAGTTTTGGTGGTCTATCCAGACAACCGCTTATGGGAGGTGGTCGCTTATAAGAGGTGGTCGCACATAGAGGTTCGACTGTAGTAAAACAAATTAGTGAAAAATTCTGGTTATTATTTACCCACACATAGTGTCTGTTTACCAAGGTTAGCACCGCCGTAGCCAGTATAAGGCGAACCGAGGCACTCGCCTCGGTAAAATTTTATCAAATACTGTCGATTTTTATTTTTTTTATCAGACTGATAATATTAGAAGATTTCATACGGCTGATTTCGTACAACGGACCGTGTGTTCGCCTCGGTTGTAGTTTCTTCCTGGCTACGGCCCTGGTTAGGCTGTTGTTTTTACGAGTTAGCGTGGCTGAGTGGTTAGAGCACTGGAATTGATATCACGTGGCCTCAAGTTGAAGTCCTGTCATGAGCACAGGCTGGATTTGTCGTCGGCAGTCCTGAGTCCAACTCAATTAATAACCTACTGGTTTGTTCCAGCTGGTTGGGATTCTAACTCTGTTTTATTTTGCCTCATTTACCTTTTATTAATGAATAATTAATTTATTTGTTTATATTAAATATATGCAATTCAGCAGGCTAACACTTTTTGCTCTTTTTTTCTCTTTTATGTTATTTAAGTCACACAGCGATGACTCAGATCCAGGTATGTTACTCTCAACAATGCTGCCATTAGTATCAAAAATCAAAGAAATTTATTGTAAAACAAAGACAAATAAATGGTTTAAATGCTTCAATCTGGAATGACATAATGTTTTCTTTAAAATCAGATTTAGGTGGAAATTACCTCAAACTGGTGAGAACATTTTTTATAAACCAATAACAAATTTGAACCATGGCAGCACCATTGATTGGGTGCTGTTATGAAAGTAATGATAAAATTAGAAAAATAAATAATTAAATACGAAGAAACTCTTTATTGTAAATATGAGTAAATAGTCGATTTATCCCTACCAGGAAGCAATCAAAAAGCAAAAAAAATCAACAACGAAATGCTGGTAGAAATTACAAAAAAAAATACAAGACTAAGATATTTAAAATCTTACTAACAGGTGTCGCTTCAGTGACTTTATTCTCTTCTACCTTTACCTCTTGCTTCTTCTCTGACAAGTTTGAAATTTTGCTGAACAGGTTAATTTTGACAGCATGAATTTTTATTGTACATACATTGAACATTGACTTTACTCTCATCGATTTAATATGATTCAAGAGTTAACCAAAAAACTTACAACTTGAAGTTTCCTGTTAATGCACCGAACACTTAAAGCATAATGCACTTTTGGGGTCCTTGTAGTTGAAAAAACGTCGTATTTGTTAGAGATCATTCTTGATTCTTTTGAAAGCTATGGTAGTTTTATTAAGTTTGTGTTTTTAATCAAGAATTAATTAATAAGAATTCAATGTACCCTTGTTGAATCTGTAGAATTTCAACCTGGAAATAAAAAAAGAGGTGGCAAACAGTTGAAGCTTGATGCAATAAAAAAAGGTTAGTTACTGTTAAAGAATATTTTACTGTTAGTTATTACAATAATTAGTCTAGACGTGAGTTGTTTTGATACCCCTATTTTTCATTCTTTTTTTTTAACAGGGTGAGATCAAAATTCTAAAAAAATTGCTTACCCCTCAGGCTAGTTAGCGGGGAGCAGTTGTGACGTTGCTCTACTCTTCAGGCTAGCTAGCCGGGAGCAGTTGTGACGTTGCCCTACCAATCCCCCATTTTCACTAATATTTACTATTTCTCTTTAAATGTTGCTTGCCATACTTGTAATTAAAGACATATTACCGACCGATTACTAGATCAGTCTTCGTACAACCCGACCTCTCACAAGGCTACTACTATCCAGACTCTGACGAGAGGAGCGCAACTAGTTTGCGACTCACCTGGCAGCCTACAAGACGAGACTGATTATGTTAACAACGTTTTTAGTAAGAACAATTACAACACGGACTTTGTTAGACGGAACACTCACAGTAACACTGATTCCAACTCTCAGACCAACTCTGGCCCTGTTACGACAGCGACGATACCGTACATCAGAGGCACCTCTGAAACTATTGCACGTATATTACAACCTTACAATATATGTGTTGCGCACAAACCGATAACCACTTTACGGCGACTGCTTACTAATGTCAAGGACAAAGACAAACCGGAGGACAGACAGGGAGCAGTATACAAGATCAAATGCTGCGACTGCCAGGCTTCTTACATTGGTGAAACCTGCAGAAACCTAAGCATGCGACTGACCGAACACAAACGCGCGACGAGGAATGGTCGCGTCAACAATCACATTGCTGAGCACCATTTAAAGACGAAACATCAAATTGACTGGGACTCTGCGACGTGTATATCGTATTCTACAGACTACTATCAACGTCTTACTTTAGAAAGCTGGTTTACTAACTTAGAACAAACACCACTGAATCGTAGCCAACAGTTACCAGCGCCGTACAAACGACTTATTGACGAGATCAAGCAAAACTAACTACAAGAGAACAACTGGAGAACTGACAATTTGACTAACAATAGACGACTGTTTAACTGTGACAATAGACGGATCAAAACGCACCAATTACTGATTACGAGTCTTCATAGCCAATAACATCACGGCTTAACTGGCAGACGACTAATAACATCGCGACATAATTGACCAATCAGATCAATAACCAGAGTGTAATTCCATCAAAGGGCGTGATACAACTCACTTGGACTCTGAAGATGACTACTGCACAGGTTGTCAAAGCGTCAGTCACTGTCAACAACAACAGTCCTATTCAGGACTATGTTCACCCAGACGATCAAACTCAACCTTTTGAAATGACTCCTGGGTTCAAACCTTTCACAATAAAGACATACTAGCCCAATTTGTCCCTCCTCCAGCCCCAAGCACTTTTGTTGTGCCTTGTTCCACCAATGGAGACCCAGGGGCAGTCAGTTGGGTCAGAGAAAAAAGGCAGCGAATGTCCCAGAGACTCTCTCGTCTGTTCTGGAAAACCTTCGCCAACTTATTTCCGACCCAGCTGACTGCCCCTGGGTCTCTAAGGATGGCCCTGTTCAAGTATCAACACATGGGAACTTTGATCTGAGGCTTTGTCTTATTCGTTTTAGTGGATGTTATTACTTTATCTGATGAAGAAGAGGTTATAGGTATGTTCTTACTGCTTAACTAACTGATTGGTAATGAGCCTAGTATTAGAACTGTTTTGCATTCCGCACAAGTTATAGTGTTACAGAAGTGCTAATTACATGTAACTGCCTCGACGACATTTTAATGTATAAATAGGACCACCACAACCAGAAGGCATAAGAAACAAAGTAATAGAGCAGAATACTGTACTTGGTTTTTCTGACTCACAGTCAAAGTCTGGTGTCACAACTTCAGTGTACAGAACTAAGCAGTTTACGGAGTACAGATTAAACTGAGCCAGGGTTTTCAAAACGTTTTTAAGTAGATGGCTGAGTTGTTAAAGTAAGTGGCCAGTCCAGGGATATTTTATTTAAAAAATGCCTTCCGTAAAGAAATGCCAAGCAGAGTAGCCGGCCAATACTAACCAAGTAGGTGGCGATTTTCACTGGCAGCCGGCTACTTTTGACAACCCTGCTGGGCGTTCAAAAACTGATGTGAGGCTTCGATTTAACGACGGATACAACATATTTCCAAATCCTTAACTACGAATTTAACAGAGAACAGTTTCAACTGAATGGCAAAAACCATGAGAATGTGTGTGGATTTTTAGGGTATATATACTGGTCCACTCTTCTTTCACGCACAAAATAACTAGCAACGAAAGAGGGAGATAAACCAAATTTAAAGGTAATTTAAGGTAATTGCATTACCTTGCTACTTAACGTTACACATTAGTCATGTGATTATCATACATTCTACTCCAAAAACATTACATGATGTAGATTCCAAATCCATCTTTGGCTTTAAAATTAAAATGCAAAACCTCTTCTAGGATTTGGATTCCTGTTGTCCATTTTTTACTTTAAAGGGCACAGCATGTACCATTTGTACCGTGTGATACTGTCAAGGTTACCCCCTGGATGAGACGACATGTTTTTAAATGCATTTAAATGCAATTTAAATGAGTTAACTAAAAGCACCTTACTGCCGGAGGTCTGTGGTCATTCAACATGCGCATGCCCAGTTGTTTGCTACTCCTGTACAACCTTAATGTGATTCAGTGGCGTGGAGATTTTACTTTGTGCTACATTGTCCATGCTACCAGATTTCTTTAAGCCATCTTCTTCCCCCCTCCCCCCTCCCCCCTCTCCCTATAGCTCTTTCTCCGCTGATATTTTTCAGTGTGATGTGGGCCTGTTTTTGTTTCCTTTTTGTGTGGGGGCTCATGGCTGGGTTGGGCCATTGTGCCAGCCATCAGGGCGTTATTCAATCCAGGTACTGGCTTCCAAAAGTGGGCGTCCCTGGATGCTCCAGGCAACCAACCTCCTTTTAGCGATGCAGTGGTTAATACAAAGTTAATCAACCACTTGAAACTCTTATCCAGGAACTGAAAACTCGGAACCCAAGACAGAGGAAGCACCGGAGCTGACAGTAGAGGAGAGCTCTCAGTCAGATGCAAAAGATTCTCCTTTACGCAGTGACAGTGTTACTCTTGTACCCGAGTCACCAAATGAAAACTCCATGGAAAGCCCTGCAGAATCGGAATCAACAGAAAAATCAGGCAAACGAAAAGCACCACTTTTAGAGGTACACGTAAGTACATGCACAGTTAATTTGGAGGATGATGTGTTCATACAATTGCTGGTGACCAAAGGAGCCCACAATCCTAATCTCCAAGTTGCTATTACTGTGCATTGTATGTAGCCAGCATTCATGTACTTCCACTATTAAAGAATGAGTGGAATGTACAGAATGCAATCTGATCATGCGCGTTTGGACGCTCTATTATGTACAATTTACACAAAAATCTGCTTTTCCTAGTGACTGGGCTTTTTTAAAGCCCCATCTAAATGTTTTATAAGTTTTACCTGATTGTGTCACATTGCGTGTGAAAGGGATTTGATAATAATAAAATTAAAAATAGGACTAATCGACCACAATTTTCCACGGTCTACACTCTTATAGACCATTGAAATGTCGTCATAAAATGTTCAAAACTCAAGTGGAACCACGAGCCGCAGGCGAGAGGTTTCACTGCAAAGTTTTGAACATTTTATGTTGTCACTTCCATGGTCTATGAGAGTGTAGACCATGGAAAATTGTGGTCGATTTGATTTTTACAATAACATTTTTTTTAGTTTCCTGCGAGGTTTCTCGGAAAATGTTACGTCATTTCCGTGGTCCATACTCTCATAGACCATAGCTCTCGACCAACCAGCGCACAAAAATTTACTCAGTTATTGTGAAATGAAAGATATTTAATATTTTTTTTACATAGTAAGAACCTTGCAAAATGAAGCGAAGGCCATCTTCAGCGTCTTGTCTTTAGAAAACTCATTTAGTTATCTTAACTGATGAGTCTCTTTTGCCTGGATCTTAGGAGGAACAGCAGTCCAAGAAAAAGGGAGGCGTATACAATAGAGATGACCTTGAATTACAAATCATGATTGGTCAGGAAGTCCATCTTGGTACCTTGGCTTGCACGGCAGTGGAACCTCTCAAGGTTTTGTCAATTGCAACTTACCATTACCTTTTTGCTTCTAATAGTAACAAGAAGTAGATGGCTTCGTGCCAAAGTTCCACCCAAGAGATTTCATTTGACTGGTAACACCATGAGATTTCATCCAGACATTCAAAAGCTACAGCATGCGGAGAAAGTAGTGCTCGATAGCCCAGGGCTAGTTTATTTTGCTATCGGGCTAGTGAATTCTCTCTTAAATTTGTTTTGGGGAATTCAATTATTACAGAAGAACTGTAAACAATATTGGTCATCAACTTTTTGTCAAGCTAGTTGAAATGACTTTTCGACTGACAAGCGACGTGAACCTTTTCGTAAACGCTTAAAGCCATGCAAGAGAAAAGCCTCTACTCGCAGGGTATGGGAAAGTATGGCTTTGGACGAAAACCAGTACAAGTTCAAAATCTCTTGCCAAACTACAGTGTAAGGGGAGAGAATGGCAGACAGGGAACGTTTACAAGTTGGTACTTCACATATAATTCAATGAAAAGTTGGGTGTCTATAGCCGGTCTTAAGGGCCTTGAACTGGCCGTTTTCTGCTGTGCAACACAAATTTCAAAACTGTTAGGGTGGAGGTTTCCTGTCATTTACATATTACTTTTCTATTTAGATCACCGCAAATGGCCGTTCTGATGAGATCAAACTTAGTGTTGATTGTGGTAAGTACACACTGAAGCTACAAAATGAGAACTACAAACATGTTACACCCCCAAACCCCACTTTATGGACACCTCATTATTATGGACAATTTGCTTTGTCCCTGGAAAAAAAAGCACTTGCATTTTTTTAAATTCAACCCGCTTAATACGGGCACCCAGTTAATATGGACACTTTCTATGGCCCCCTTAGTGTCCGCATTAACAGGGGTCGACTCACTGACTGTACCTCGTATGTTAGGTGGTGGCAGTGAAGCATGTTTTGTAACCTGTAGGGATACATATAGTTACAGTTAACTGTGAAATTGAAGTTTCCACCTTCAGCGTGGAAAGAAAGTTGTGTCCAATAACCCCGGGCTAGTGAATTCTGTTTTCAACTTTTCCCACGGACAAGTGAAGTTTTTTGGGGGAATTTAAATTACAGAAGTACTGTAATAAATGCTGGAAATTCATTAAACCTCGCTTTAACGGTGGACTTCGGTCATCATTCATGGGTAACAGTGCACTGTTACTGTCTGACGTCATAGATTTTACAATGTTGCCCGCTCATAGATTTTGGCGGGAAACAGTTTGTTATATGTCACGTGACCATAAAGTAATCAATGAGAGCGCGCGCTGTGGGGAAAAAATTTCCAGCTGTATACACTGTATATAACAAGGTAACTTGTTTAAATTCTTTATAGATTCAAGCTGATCTGACGAAGTGAAATTATTAGCTATTATTACAATGAATTAATAAAGCAAATAAATTGATTAACAAATGCTGTAATTAATTAATAAATAATTATTATTCATTTATTTATCCCGCTTGTCCATTTTTTTTGCTAGCTACGCTTGGGGCAGGATGTAAACTGACTTGCTTTACCCCTTTGCTCCATAACCTTGGCTATTAATATCTCTTATCACTCCTGATATCGCACTGATAACTTAAATTACAACACTTTGTTATTTTTTTCTTTTAGGAAGTAAAATTGTATTGCTAACCATCTCAGGAAAAGACCTGACTTCACTCAAGGTAAAACAGAACATCAGTGGTACAGTGCACATGTAAAACTTATTCCCAAATCCGATTGGTAGCGAGTTCTTTAGAAGTGCCAAAGGGAAAGGGTCTTGAAAGCTAAGTGAAAATGTAATCGTTGGGATCACTGGAATTTTTTCAGCGAACGTGGCAATAACAACCATCAAATGGAAACAACGCTTTTAATACTTGTCTTTTAAGACAAAATACAGGGTACATGTCAATGAATTTCCAAAGTTAAAGTGTTCGTTGAACTACAGTCAGTATAGCTCTGGAAGATTCACCAACAGATCCTGCACGTGTTGAAACTTCTCTGAGAGAAAGGCAGGGGTCACTTGTTTGTCCTAAGATGTCTAGGGTTACAAGCTGCTACTGTCTATTGGGAAGGATTTTTTACTCTACAATAAACGGACGTGTGAACGTTTGCTTTGCCCGGGTGACTTTAAAAGCAACGGCCTTGTCTCCAGCTGGCAATGTCAAAAAAGTGTACTCAATCATTATTTTGAACAAAACATAATTTTTTCAGCCATTCATTCATTCGACCGCATCTGTTAAAACGTTTTCGCTAGCCCTTCATCCGTTTTATCTCATTCGTTCAAATATATCTTCATCCCTTCTGCCGTTTGTTCTTCGCTATCCTTTTCTCATCCCTTCGCTTACCGTACGTTCAGCCGTTCGAACGGATATTGTAAGGAACGCTTTCGCGAGAGAGGTCACATTTGACTCTTTAAAGTAAAAGCGGATAACATCCCTGCTTACACGTGGAACTGCATGAATTTGCTAAAGCATGAAATAAAAGGAACTTATTGATTTCCTTTTCTGCAGATCAGTCGTGGTCAAGATCCAGACGTGATCGTGCTGGGAGTTACACCTGGCTTTGCTCTTAAACTGAGGCATAAGTTTCCTTTCAAGGGTTCGGCATTTCTTAATCCAGGAAGTGCTGGTACAGTATGCTGTATTTATTCTCTTGTAGCAATGCTAGACTCAAGTCCTGTTGTCAAATTTAACTGCAGAGCACTCAGAATAATTATTTCTCCAATTGTGAGTAGATAACGTGCGCTGGTTGATTCTTCACAGCTATCTCTTGTACGCTGGTTAAATTTGGGAGATATATGTCGTTCGTTAAAAGATTAAGGCAATCGTCAACCACTGGAAGTTGTTGACTGAAAAAATGCAAATGTCCTAAATCTGTGTAATGAAGAAGTTCCACACAAAATAAGAGAATTTCATTCGTGAACTGTGACACTGACCAAGAGTTCCACTAATCTCTTGGTCATCTGTGTTTTTTAGTTGACAGTACACACTTTTGTAAGAAGTAAGCAAAGACGGCCTAGATACAAAACCACGCTGAGTTACACAATGAATATCAGCGATCTGATCCCTATAGAGTCTTCAAGCTCTACAATTTACCTAGGCTTCCCCCGCACTACAATCAAAATCGTTGGCCAGCATTGTTTCAAATTTAACTTCGCTATATTACATCAAGTCGCATTTTACGGATGCGTCGCGTTAAACAGGCCTCTGAAGATAAGAGAGAGATGCATAAATTTTAAGGTCGGACTTAAGGGCGTAACTTTCATCAGTTAAGCCCCAGACACAAGCAGTTACGACTAACGTTAGGTTTTATACAACGGGCGCTCCCCTGGAGGCTTTCAGGAATCTTAACAGAAGTAACGTGCTTGTCTTATAGTGGCATCAGAAAGGGACATAATCCTTGAAGTCAGTGAACGCGTCACGAATGAAATTATTCACGATCTAATGGATTGGGTAAGCTTGGGTGTGGTTCACATTTAATGAAGTCAGCAAGTTAGTTTCCACTAAATCGTAGTCAACAGTTGCCGGCACCGTACAAATGACCAATTAACGGACTCAAGCAAAACTGACAACGACAGAATGACTATAACTAAGTATAAACTAACTATATTGTACTAACAATGAACGACTGTTTAACCAGGACAAAAGACGGATCGAAACGCACCAATGACACTTCGAGACTTAATAGCCAAAAACATTACGGCGTAACTGACAAACGACCGATAACATCGCAACTACGCCTCAGAATTATAAGTAGCTACGGGGAAAACGCATGTTCTAGGATAACGCTACATGATGGACAGGGCTCGTGCGCACCTTAAAAGCCCTTGAATTTTAAAATGAAAATTCAAAGCCTTGTAAATTGCAGTCGGTGCTGGAAAGCCGTTGAATTTCAATACTAACTTTATAGTTGAAGTAGAACTCCGAAGGAAGAACTAGACAAGACTCAAGGCTCTTTTTTGCACTGAATGGATTCCTTGAAAAATGGGAAATGTGTCCTTGAAAGTCCAGTGAAAAGTCCTTGAATTTTTTTTCGTTCGCAAAGGCTACAAACCCTGAATGGATAAATCTCTATCCAGTTGATAAGGCAACTGGATTCCCTAATTCTTATCTGCTGGATAATGATGATAGTGGATAGTGCTATCCAACATTTGAACAACCGGGGTAATAAGTTGATTATCACACTCCTCCTCGCTCCACCGTTACGACATTTGTTACAGATGTTACAGGTTACAGTTACAACTAAAACATTCCATGATTTCATACAGCTACAGTCTGGAAGTAACGTATTCTAACCCAGAACACCCACACACAAGGCCAAATGAACCTAAATGCAAAATATATGGGAAAATCGAAAATCGGCTCGAGACTTTGCGAGTCAGTAGACCAGAAGAGAATATGCGCTATCGTTGAGAGGAGGAGGGTGGGGCGAGAACTGCTAGCGAGGGTACCAAGACCTAAACTTTACTAGAAATGGCTGAATAATCATGCATGCTGCTCTTTAAACTGAAGAGCAAAGTCTGTGGATGTGCCGTGTATTTCCCAGGACCACGCTGAGAAGGTTAATGTAGGGTTTTGTCCGTGTTTTCCCCAGTGAGAATAGCTAGCAAATTAAAAAACACTTGTGCCTAACAGTATGAGAGTTAAAAATGTGTTTCGCGTTTATTTTGTCTTTCAGGTGTCAGAAAAGTTGTCCAAAGATTTTGCTGAGTTAAGGTGACTGGAAAGTGACGACGTCTAGCAACTTAGAAATAATCATAACATTAAATTTCGAAGTAATAAGTTTAAAAACTGCTTATTTAACTCTAGCTAACTCTTTTTTTGGTACACTTCTATAAGCGCAACTTATTGTCTTTTAGCCTTTGTAGATAATGATTCTTATGTTATTAACTTTGGTTTCATTAATCATTTTCAATTGGTTGAAAGGGGCTGATTTTGAAACAAGACTTATTTGTTGAACGTTTTATCGTAGTGTCTGTAAGGCATAGAAAGGAAACAGTTTGGTGTCAGTTATTTTCCATCTCTCCAGTACTAAAACAATAGTGCCGAACGTAATGTTATTTTTAAGGGCAAGCAGGTCACTCAGTTGCCCTCTTTGTCTTCATCCCTATTCTGATAACATGTGTCTGAATGGGAAAGGAAAACTCTTACACCTAACAACGCAATGGTCGGGAGAGGCAGAACCCAGGGAAAGAAACTCCTTCCACCTATCTCGCGCTTGAACTGTTCGCGCCCTCGAGCGTTCGAATTTCCAATTTGGCCTTTCATCTCGAGCTCCTGTCACGAAGCGCTATCCACCTCCCCTCTTCCTCTCCAGCCCCCAACCCCCCCCCCCACCCGAACCCGAATCAAAAGTGTTATTTGCGTTGTTAGTGTCCTTCCTCATTTGGAATTTCTGGTTTATTTGTAGCTTAAAAGAGGTGGAGAGAATCAAATCTTTCAAAGCTTCTACATCAGCATCAGCAACCAAGGAAAAAGAGCAATGTACGGAAACAGAATTGTTGTCTTTGTTATTGTACTTCTTTTGGTTGTGTAGTTAGATTTCCATAGTTCAAACCGATGTCTTTTTCTACTCATAACGACACGAGCTTACCTCTCTTGATCTAGGGTACCCCGCCACAATTGGCGAAAGTAAGAAAGTGAAAATAAATAATTGTCCTTTTTTATGATGACATTTTTTTCATTTCATTGTAGCGCCCAGTGAAACATCTTCCACTTCCATGACCACTCGTTCCAGGACATATAGCACAAGAACAAGCGGCAGCAAAGAAGCAGCAGCTAAAACCGTAGAAAAGTATTTTTTCCTCTTGATTTATGTTACTTGAAAAAATTCGTGTAGTATAATGACAATGTAACTAATTTAAAGAGAGTTCAATAGCCCCTTTCGGACAACGAAGCGCTCAGGCTTTTGTGGAATGTGCAGTTTTGTCACGGCAAGAATCTTAAGTCTTCCCGAGCGGTTTTGTAGCTGTCTGTTTTAGCAGCCTCCCAGCGGTTTTGTAAGTTAGTTTGAAACGGTCCAGCGCCCCAGAAAACCTTCGTTTTTCCTTCTACTGATTCAGTCAGTGTAACGGCTACCTGCCTGAGGTGGTGGCCGTAGCGACGATATTCAGTGTGAGGGCTAGCCTAAAGTGAAGGAATTTTCTGGGGCGCGTGGCAACTAGGATTTAATCGCAAGAGGCAGGGAAGGGGCGACGAGTGTTCTTTATGCACCACCATAATGATATAAGCCCCGCTTTCACTCTTCCCAGTCCTCCTCGGCATTCCAAAACAAAAGTCGGCGACTGCAAATAAATTAAGAAATACTGATTGCTCGCTCACCCAAAAATGCTCCTTATAAACTGCAGGTTATCAAGGGGCTGGGTAGATACCCAAGGCATTGCGGAGCTTTAGATTCTTAGATGAGCACGACTACGAGGACGGGATTTCTCTCAATGGGTCCTCAATACTAAGAAGAGTTCGCGCGTGAATCAGCGTCATTTTGGCGGGAAAACGTGATAGTCTTCGTCATTCTACTGCGAGTTTTAGCGAGAATGTCGTGGTGGCTGAAACAAGTTGTCAAATGTTTAGAAGATTTATCATCATGCGATCGGGAGAGGGGTTAACCGACTTCAATAAAATAATTCTGCTTACTCTGGTGAATAAAATTACAATGAAGCTTTCCGGAGTGTGTGTCTTTTTTTAAGAAAACGCGAAAAAACCTTAGTTGAATTTTTGTCCTCGAATGTAAAGGTCTCAATTCACATTCTGCGTAAGCTAACAAGGCAATAATTATGTATTTTGCTTTTCAGACTGATAGTTTATCCAGCCCCTCCCCAGCCAGGCGGGATTACAGTTACCTCTGAGGATATCCCTTGTCTTGCTCCAGGAGAATTCCTCAACGATGTCATCATTGATTTCTACCTCAAGTAAGTTGACATCTGTTTAGATGGTGTCGATACGTCAATTTTAACCTTTTTATCGAGAGTTCGGAGAGTCTTAATCGCTCTCAAAACACTGTGTTTTAACTTTTCCTAACGCTACTATGTTCTTATTTCAGGTATGTGTTCGAGAAACTTAAACCGGAAGACAAAGCTCGTACTCATATTCTAAGCTCGTTCTTTTACAAACGGCTCACACAAAAAAACAACAAACATTCAGACAGTTTCACCAGGTAAATGTGCCCATCCATCAGTAGGCCACCTTTGTTACTATTTACTGCATCCTTGTTTACAATAGTAATTTACCCCACATGCAGTTAGTTATTATTTGTCGTGAGCTCGAATCTCATCTGCACCTCGATAATTTTTCCAAGCTTTCTGATGTCAGATTTCTTTCTCCTAAATTTTTGAAAATTTTCCACCCCGAAGGCTGACTGGCAGAGCACATTTAGTTGTCTTTTTCATCCTGATGGACTAGATTGTGTCCTTGTGTAATTTTTCTTTGAAAAGGAGTATTGCGCTTACCCACCCCGGAAGTCCATTTCCACCTGCCATAACCCTCACTTTTACAACGAGGCCAAGTGTAAAACGTGATTTGTGAAACGGGTTTAATTTGCATAAAAATTAAAAGCCATTTTTATCTCTTCCTATTTAGCCTCGTTTTGAAAAAGAGGTTATAGTATCTTTAATGTTGCAAGCGAAGAGTATGAAATTACATAGTCTACTCAGTACTTGCGACTTTTGGATTTAATTCTTCTTAGCTTCCCAAACTAAACTTGTGTGACATGGCTTAACTTAACTAAACTTAACTTTAAACCTTGATGAATTAATTATTTCTCCACGTATAATTTTCGTATTCTAATAATCATTACTGGAATTTTTGGAAATGTAGAGAAAGTAGAAATACCCAGCGTTTAAACCTGATCTTTATTTCCTGTTGTTTGGTCTCTAGCACACCTGACCGAATGCATTCCCAAGTACGAACATGGACCAAGAATGTCGACATATTTGAGAAAGATTTTGTGTTTCTGCCTATCAATGAAAGGTTTGCTACCCTTCTGTATTAGAAGTATCAAAGAGTTTCCAGTTTCTTTTCATATTTATGCGCGAAGGAAAAAGCCCAATTCAACCCTGTTTCCCCGAAGGTAAAGAAATGAAACAGTCTGGATGTGATAATGTGATGTGTATTTGAAAACATTATAACTCCTGTTGCTTGGCCATTTTGAGGTTACTGTGATACTAGATCATCATTGCGTCTATTATTTTTTCTTATAACCCCTGAGGAAGCATTATATATCAGGCAACTTTATTGAAACATTTTTTATCGTACCATAGTTTCTTTGTTTACTTCCTCGTCTCTTTGCCGTCATGATCAGTTTGCCGTTTATATATTTTTGGTTTGAATTGCACTTTGGGACCGGTTTGTTGGACCTTTTCTCCCATAGAAAGGGTTGGCATAGTCTTGAAAAGTCCTTGAATTTTAGGGGAGTGCCAATTTCCCGGCTTTGTTTAATTCTATTGGTTTCATATTTCAGTTCCCATTGGTACCTGGCAGTCATCTGTTTTGCAGGGCACACTGAACCAACTTATATAAACGAAATCCTAGATGAAGATGAAGAAACCCAGGTATCTTGGAGCATTCCACTATCGTAACCACAGCCTTTAAAAATTCAGCCGTTCACTTTGTCTCCTCTCCGATGCTCAATACTCTCCCGCACATTTAAAAGCATTTTTCAACAGCCTAGGCCCTCGGCGTTTTCTCTTGCCCCGTTTTCCGCGCGAAGACTGGGAAAGGGTAAGCGAGTCTCTCGGTGACGTCACACCTCACGGTAGAATCCAGATTAGGGAGTTTAAGATACGGAGACTACGAACTACGAACTACGGCTGGACGAGCGTTGTCCTTTGTTCGTAGCACTGGGTTGAATCGTGCAAATATAGAACGTTAAGATTGCACTACAGACAGTAGACTACGACAGAAGAGGCGGAGAGGGAAACAACACGCAAAGATTTTCTTGTTTTCATCACAGTTCACAAAAATGCAAGTCAGTTTTGCATGTGATCTTATCGTTAGAACAATGAACAAATTCTTCCATACTTGAAGGAAGCAATTACGTCGGGTGAAATTGGTAAACAAAGTTTTGGTTACACAGGTTTTATTTTTTCGCCCATGAATACTTATGTCAAATATTAAAGATACATACAGATATAGTAATACCTCATTTATACCTCATTTATTAGATTTATTTAGAAGATGGATTTCTCCGACCACTGATCTGATGTAGTTTGAAGTACTGAAATGCCGAGTTTCGATTGTCTCGAGAATGTTTACATCATTTTCATTCAGCAAATGGCGCGATACCAAAACTCGCATAAATAACGGTTACACAAGTACAAAGACTCACTAATCAGTTCGAACAAACATTGAAACTTTTCAAGTGCGAAGAGAAAGTAAATTACCTGCATGATTTCTCTTCTCCTAGGCTGTCAATCTGAATTCTGCGTATAAACAGCTAAGCTTATTTAAACATGAGCTTAGCTAGATAAAAATGTAGTCACAACAGTGGATTAAAAGCGTAAATCTGAGCAGAAATTAGACACAACTTACATATTTCGCTTTCCTCTCAATTGAAGCAGGTGAATTGAAAACTTTTTTACGGAAAGGCGAGATTCTTGAACTACCGAGACGGCAAAATACGAGCAAAATGTTCTCCGTAGTCCCGACTACGCGAAACAGCTCAACAACTCACCGTAGCCGCAGGACTACGCGGGAAAAATGAACAGTCACGTGGTTTTGATCATGCGCAGTAGCATATTTATCCGTAGCCGTAGTCCGTAGTCGCCGTATCTTAAACTCCCTATTGACCGAGCCGCAAACGGCTGGGGACCTGGCTGATTTTTCAGTACTTTCGGCAAGGTTTTGACAAACAGCCTACCCCCTAAAGCTACAGTTCTAAGATCTTCGTATTTGTTGTAAACATTTTCCTTTACGAATCAACAGCAGAAAAAAGATTCAGAATCCGACGCTGCCACGGAAAAGGAATCAGAGAACGATAATAATAACGATGTCGATGACGATGATGATTTGGAGTTACCGACACTTACAAGTCTTCAATCCAAATCACTTAGTAGGAGTAGAAGAAAAAGTAGCTTGCCCAAACAGAGCATCAAATCACAGTAAGCTATTTTTGTTTATAGTGTCGTTTAGTTATGGTGCCTTAGTCATGGTTCTGTCAGCCCACACAGTAGGAATTTCCTTACTTTAGAAGATAGGGAGCACGTTTACGGCAAACCGCATAGATAGCCTTGTGATTTAAGTAATGTTTGTACTTTATTTATTCTGGGGCCGTAGATCTTTTATAGATCCGATATGCCGGAATTCTAGCATGGTTCTGTCCTTGTTTTAGAGGTTGGTTTTGGCGAATTCTTTATTTTCTCTGCGAGACATCAACTTGACACTTGGACTCTTGCCCCTCAGGAAACACGTAATATGGCGTGATTCTGTGGGTGTTGAGAGTTCTAGGTCAGGGCTTAAATCAGAGTGCGCGGATATTTTTCATTAGAGCTTTCTCTGGTTACGCCATACTGACGAGCCCCAAAGAGGGCGAAACAGCTGTCTATGGCTAGAATCTCGCTCTGTTTTGAGTCGTGTTGAGGTCTTGCAGAGTTAATTTTCACGTAGTACGATCAGCATTGCAGTATTCTGCTTGCAGAATTTAATATGTCAGCCTTGTGATTGTTTACAGCGACAAAAAAAGGACAGTTCTAAGTTACGCTTTTTCGTGGACCCAAAAACACTTCCCTTTACGTTGAAAAAAGTAGGCGGTAAACTTGGGAAATGGCGGAGAAAATGATCTCCTGGTCGTCTGTTTGTCGCAAACGTGTCTCAAGTACTCGTTTATATGATGTGTTTCAATTCTATTCCTGGTTTATATTTTATCTTCCGCTAGTCCAGACTCATTATCATACATTACCATACCCAAAAACGACGGGAGATAGAATTCAAGGATAAAACTAAACCATAACATATGCACCTCGGTGTATGGAGCCAAGTTTCTTCACTAGAAAAATTACGTGATACTGAACAAACCTTGCACCCTGGCCTATTGCGTATACAAACTTAAGATTAAGCAGGAGCTTTTTTCTGAAGTATATCTTTGCAATCTCGTTTCATTTCCATAAATTTGAAGTCTTAACCTCTAAACAGCCAGACACGACTCTCCTTACAGTGGAGGTCAAATGTGTTGGGGCACTTAACGTATGATAATAGTAAAACTGGCGAGGCGACCTCTTCCTTCCCACCCTGAACAATGTTGAATTTCAAGCAATATAGACGCAAGTAAGTACTTTTTTGGCACAACATCGCCCTACGGAGGAAGTGGGGTGAGCGAGTGATGAACTCAAAGGCGATCAGAAAAACAAAATTTAAGAGAAGGAGTCTTACGTATTATTTGGTTTTTACAGATGTCCCAATTTCTTTTGACCTCCAGTGAAGAAGATAGTGGAAACAAACCAGGGTTTGTTCTGGGCAGCACGCACAATCTGTTATCCGTTATTTTAGGCGCGTGCGAGGAAACCTGCCGTTTCTTTGTGTTGCGGATTTTAAAAGATGACGTAGTACAAAAGAGAGAAAGATAATTAATAATACCTACACGACAAAACACAGGCCAATCAACAATAGTTTCCCCAACACTAAGCAACACTAAGAAAACCTCTGGCTTCTTATCTATTGTGACCCCAGCTAACGTATGAGTATTTAATACACAGAAAATTCTCTGCTTCATCCTACAGACCCTGCATTTTGGTGTTTGATTCACTGGGATGCCAAAGAAATAGGTGCATGATGAATCTTAGAAAGTAAGTCTCTCTTTGTGGTCAATTTTCTAACTTCAATTTCTTTTTGAGTATCAGTGTGGATGATTTGCTGTAACTGAATCATAAGCGAAAGTTAAATCACATTAATTTATTAAGGGCTGGGGGGGAGGAGGGGAGGTTTAAAGGCTTGTTTATAGTGAAAAGTGCACTTAGCTTATCCAGCTAGGTTACAGGCACTCCAATCAAATACTTAGAAACAAATAATTGACATACAACATAACAGAATTAAAAACCCCAACTGGCAGGAGGCAACCAGTTGGCTGTTTACAAGCATGGCCGAGGATTTGAACTCGGGACGACCGAGAACAAGCAAAAGGCCAGAGCGGGACTCGAACCCTGGACCGCCGGATTGCGAGTCCAACGCGCTGACCACTCGGCCACGCTGCCTCCTACAAGGAAAGGAAGAACTCTACAAAATAATTGGTATTTCTTTTCTTTTCGGTGTTACACCCATGAAAGGCAGAGGTTTTTGCACAGAAAAAGGTCGACTCCGCCCGTACAGTTGTTCAAAGGGTGAAGAAACTGCGTGCACAACTGTAAATAATCTGTTGTAATCTCGGCTGATGGCGAAGACCTCTTAGTTTTCACAGGAAAGCTTCGAACAATAATTATTACTTTGCCGGAATCGGAATGTTTCTTTTCTACGGGAAAAACAGGCAATCGCATTGAAAACGTCACTAATAGGTCATAAGTGTAATCACGTCTTTCAAACGTTTTCATGATCATTTTAACGTAATCATTTTATCAACTTTAGGAAAAATTCCGAGTAGTTTACTGTTAAATTCTATAGGACCGTGCCTATGCAAGTTCAGAAAAAGAAAGAAAAATTCTTCGTTCCACGCTAAAGTCGTAGCCTTGCATTGGCGCCATTGTGATGCACGCGCAAAAGGGCTTTTTGCCGTCTCCTTCCTGCCATCTTAAGGAAGCTTACGCAACCACGAAAGCGACGGCAATGCGGAAGTTTAAGGCTATGTTCACAGTATACCGGTTAGCTCTTGCGCTGCCATAACACACAAGAACGGATGGTGATTTGGGTTAGATTTTTGTGACTGAGCAAAGCTGCGCCGCGCCAATCTCGAAATTGGAGCGTCACATATCGGATAGATTCTGTGCCACACTTTATTGCAGTGAACACTGAGGTATTTGGACCCTACCGGAAGTAAATAGGTAGGAGCAAGGACTGGAACCCGCTGAGCTTGAAGTGAAAATTCAGGAGTGAGGACTGGGTTTTAGCTCACCAAACCCTGCACGTGCAAAGTTATTGTTTTGCTAATCTAATCCTATTGCACTTTGAGTTGTCGTCGCCGTCGTGCCATATTTGACTCTTGACTTTTGACTCTTTTTACACTGGTCCAAATTTTTGATCGGACGAATTTTTACCTTTGCAACGCGTTTACACGTAACCGTGTAATTTTTTTTACAGTACTGATTACACGAGTCCGTCCAAGTTTTTGCCAGTGTCAGCATTGTTTTTTCCTTCCTTTTTTAACTAGGCTCCAGGCTTTTGCCACGCAAACTATGAAAAAGATTGTCAGGTTTAGGTGTTAACACGTATCCTTGTAAAAGTGGAACTGTACCGCTTTAAACTTTTGACCTACTTCTGATCAGGTTAAAAACTTGCACTGTTCCGCGGATCCCGTGTAAACGAAAGGCGGATCCGTGCAAGTTTTTGTCCGTTAAAAAATTTGTTCAGACTCTTGTAAACGGGGTCTCAAACGCCCTAGTTTCGCTTCCGTCGCCGTGGTGGGCACGTAAGCTCTCTTTGAACTCTCTAATAATAATTGTTTTAAGCTCGTTAGAAGTTTTTACTGATTTGCTTTTTTACTTTAATTGTTGCCAGCTACCTAGCATGTGAATGGAAAGAAAGAAAAAAACAGTGTGAGCCTAGAGAGTTCAACAAAGATAACGTCAAGGGAAACCACCCTAAGGTCTGTTGAATCTGGGCTGAATTTAATAAAACTTTACAAGTGTAATTCAAAAGTGTCAGTAGCTGTTGTTTCCGATTGTTATTTGTGTTTTCAGACTCTGGCAGAGTGTGAAAACGCTAATTACCCGCAATGACAAATTTGTGAATCATTATACGTTTTTGGGAAACTGCCCACGTACCCCTCCCCTAAGCCAACATTTTGCTTTTAGTGAGAAGTAGGTGTTAATGTTGGCTTAAGGGAGGGGTAGGTGGAAAAGATTAAGGCCACGTCTACGTGAATCCGGACATTTTTGAAGCCGCATTTTTTTAAAACGAGTCGATCTTGGCTTCTGTGCACGCAAAAACCAGTGAATCAGCTCACTTGAACCGCTCTCCAGAGTGGTTATAAGGGCTCTGTTCACACGAATGCGTGTAGCAAAATTTGTGGTTCCAAAATGTCCGGATTCGTGTGGATGTAGCCTGATGGTCAGACGTCCGAGGTCGTTCGCGGTCCTTTCGCTTCTCTTCCTCTCCCATCTGATATACTCTGTGCGAAGTCGTGTTCATAACGTCAGAGCCATTGTCAATTTTCACCAATCAGAGCGGTTGTACCATAGAGGGATCACCATCGGAGAGGAAGAGAAGCGAAGGGGCCTCGGACGTCAGAGCATCAAGCTATTGTGGATGGGGCGTGATTAAATTGATATAACATTTAAGTGGAGCTTAGGACGAAGAAGATTTGTATGACTTGGACCAAATTATTACTTGTGGCTATTCTTTTACTTGTGTTATCCCCTTTTACACGTTTGTCGCAAGAGCACAAGCACAGGGAAAATGGACTTAATGTAGACTTGTAATACTCATCATGTTGCTAGTGGTGAGTCACTACCATACCATCCGTGTCTTTCTTTCGCTTGCCCGATTTTGGCGTGCTCGAGAAAGACTCTGCATGAATCGAGTAAGGTCTTTGTTGCGCATGCTCTGCATGTTGCTTGGATGCAAATTCGAACCCAGGCCTAATAGCCTTGCGCTTAGAACAACAGCCTCAGTTTTAACCTTCAGTATTACAATAAACGGATACTCACACTCAAAAAACCAATTTGACGAGTATCGAGATTGATTAGTTCAGAATTTCAGGCTGCGTCGAAGAGCCTTCTTTCCTTCTCCTTGGTTAAGAAGAAGATAATAGAAAGCTCTGCTCGCAGAGTGCTGAGTCCCCTGACAAGATTGGAACCCAGAATGCCGCTTGGGCGCTCTAGCCTCTAAGCCTCGGAGATATTAGGAAGTGCTCGCCTTGGTGTTTCTTGGCTTAGTTGTTAATGACCTGAAAAGTGGTGAACGCTCATAACCAGCGTAAAAATTTAGGCAATCTGTATTTTTTTTGAGCTTTATTCCACTTAAACTGTTGACAGTTTTCCGAAAGATCTTCGAGATTGAGCGCTAACTGTTCTTTACGGGCAGCCATCGTGGTTTCAATTGCTTCGTTTCTAACCTGGCGAAGCCAAAGATCACCGAATTCCAAACCCCGCGGTTATTTTTATTTGTCACTCATTTCGGTATGAGCTCCCACTGTCTGAATGTTGTTAAATTTTGTGAAACAGTTCCTTTAATTCTTGAACTTACACCGTCTTGCCCCACTCTTAGGCCCCTGTGCAGGATAACTTCTGTGATTGTGGGGTATACGTGTTGCAGTACATGGAAAGCTTCTTCAAGGTGAGGAATCTTTGTTTGATATGCAGTTTTAAAACAGAATGATATTTAGGGTGCTTTCCGTCGGTTGTAATCCTGAGTAAGGTAAAGTACACCGAAAGCTTTCAACAGCTCGTGGATATTGAAGCAACTAAGACGCTTCAAGTATTTTATTCCAACGGAAAATTTTACAGTATAGTAAATTCTTAAAAAAAGCGATCTCTTTAGTCCATTGCATTTGCCTTTTCGGGGTGTGTCGCTGTCGCCGTCGGCTGGGCATGGTTCCCAGTTGTGTGTGAGAAAGAGAAAAAAACGTTTAAGTGTGAGTACGTCTGTTTGAGATTTTTTTCAACGTTGCTTTTGTTTTTGACTACGTTTTACCAAGAGACCTGGGACCCAGTCCTCACAATTTTTGTTTTCTGTAGTGCGTGCTGGTAAACGTGGCGTCCCGATCCCAGCGTCTTCCGAAGACTTCCGAACGTATCCGAAAATGTCTAAAAATTATTTGGTGACCTTTGAGCACTCTGAAAGTTTATAAATAGGCGTTGAATTTTGGTCGTTAATCATGCGTTAAAGGACAATTAATTTGTCCCGAATAAGACTCTTTAGCGTGTATGTTTTGTTTTCCCAGTACAGGTCATGTGATAATATTCTAGAGAACTGTTTCTTTCAAATTTCGTCTTGTTCACGTGCATGCCTACGCATAATTGATGAAAGACAAAGGGTCAAGTTCCCCTGGGACCTCTATTGGCAAACAAAAACATGCAAGCTAAAGAGGTTTGTCGTTGATGCGTGACATCGAAGTCACCTCCTTATCGGCCTCCTCTGAACCTTGGTCGCATTCGTCGTGTTGACTTTTGAATAATCTCTGCTGACGCGGAGCAAACGATCGGTCCCTGCCTTTCTTAGAATACCGGTTGCCTTTTCAAGACCAAAAACATACACACCAGCAGAAAATGGGATCGTCCCTCTTTGCAAACAGTGGTAGCCCTTACTCTAAAAGTCATCGCGTGTTTTTAGATAAATCAAGGCAAACTGAGAAGATTAATGACCTTATACAATTGCGTATACCGCCATTGATTGATGAGAAGAAAATTTTCAAGGAACAAAGCTTGAATGTTTTAAGCATCGGGAGTGGAAATGGGCAGGCAGATTTGTTTGTCCTGAAAGTGATCAAGGAACAATTGATGAAGACAGACCTAGGCCATGGTGTCAAGATCTTCAACCGTGCCATTGATCCCAACTTATATTCATGTGATCTGTACAGAGCAGCTATTGAAAATCTACCAAGTCCGCTAAACGATGGCAAAGTGGCTTTTGAAATCTGTCAGCAGTCCTTTGAAGAGTATCAACAAAGCCACAGAGAACCCCTCAGTTTCGACATCGTACATTTCATACACAGCATATATTATGTAGACATCGAGAAAGCTCTACTGCATTGTTTTGAAAAAGAACTTTACGATAAGGGACAAGTAATCTGTATCGCCTCGAGGCGAGGTCTTATTTGTAGCGTTGTGTCAAAACTGCAGCAAAAACTGCAGTGGCATGTGGGCAGTGAGATTTACGATGTAGTTGATAAAATGATCCAGATTGCCAACAAAAACGGATGGAAGATTGAGGTTCATGACCAAGAATATTCAATAGATGTCACCGAGGTCTTTGATCCGCATTCAACCGAAGGGAATCTGCTACTCGACTTCTTGACGCAAACGGAAAATTTTCGTAATACTGAGGACAAAGAGTTTGTTGAAGAAACGTTGTCATTTATCAGAGATCTAACTTTTGTCAAAGACGGAAAATTGTTTGGAGAAAAGAAAGAATCTTTGGTGGTCATCTGTAAATAGTAACACAAACTATCGTGAAATTTTTTCGGAAATTGTTTTATTCTGTTTATTTCCTGCGTAGCGACTAAGGTATTTACGTTACCCCAGCTTGACCCTCGTAACTAGTTCAAGATGGTTCTTAAATAATCAAATCCTTAACTCCTCAGATTGAAGTTCTCACATCGTTTTTCAAGCGAGCGGAGGCAAGCGCGAGAACAGCTCGCTGTGCGAGTGAAGCACGACGAGGGCGGGGGAGGACCAAACCGTAAACGTTTCTGGGAAACTGCCTACCTACTCCTCCCCTAAGCCAACAGGACCAAAAGGTTTATTATTTTCTGCGCTTTGTATGCACAGTGAAATGAAACTGGCTGAAACAAATACAACAGGTCATGGCTAGTGCCTGTATATACACCACGCTGATCCAATCTGACCGAGATTGCCGGGGAAGAAATGCAAGATAGAGTCGATAGCGCTTGATTGAATTCGGGGAAAGGGGCGCTCAACAAAGCTTCATACGGGGAGGCCCCGACTCCAGATCCAACGCCTTAAGGTACTATACAAAAAACATGCGAGTTTTTTGAGAAATTGTCCGAAAATTTTTTTTGCTCGTTTTCACATCTTCAATAATTTATTTTTCTTCCAGCACGATTTTTTTTTTTTTTCAGTATTTAATTCGTACAGAGAAAAAACTGTAATTTCCTAAACACTGTCGCTTGGTTGTCATGGTAACGGCAAGCACCAAAAAGAGAAGAAAAGTCATAAGAGGACTAAAAAAAAGAAAAGAGGACAAAAACAAACAAAGAGAGGGTGTGAACTATGCCTCAGGACAGTTCTAGAGAGTTGTCTATGTGGAAACTCTGTTACAGTCATTGCAAATTCTATTTCTCAAACTTTAAAACATTTTTTCTCATAATTTTATATTTCGCGGAACTATGAACACTCTAGCAACCATAACTTTTCATGGTTTTATTCAATTCTTCTCATTTTTGGAGTGAGAAATCTTTGTATGTTTTTACATGCAATGAACTACAATAATTTATCTTGGTGTAATCTTTGTTGTCTGAGGACCCAAAACTGGATCCTTAATTCAGTTTATTTTGAATGTCAATATGTTTATTGTAATAATTTTGTATCTATTAGCCTGATAAGAATGCCTTTAGTTCATTGCATAAAAAGAATATGTAGATGAAATTCCAAAAGTTTCAGCAGTTTTCCTTGTAATGTCTTGGAGATAGACGTGTTTTTGTACCGGTTATCCCAGGGGGTTTATTTTTAGCATTATTGGTTGCCATGGTAACTAAACAAGACAAAAAGTATAAAAATATACTCATCTCATGCTATAGTTTAAGAATACCTGGGAATACTTTTGCAAAAGAACATATCAAAAAATAGTGATTTTTGAGGAATGTACCACCTTAACTTTTTATATACCATTTTTGACAGAATGTATCCCTTTCGGATACCTGCTATTGACAAATAGTACCGCTTTCACATACTTACTTTAGATCTGCTATGCATACACCGTCTTTCAAATATGAATAAATCACTAAACCAGGAAGTTTATTGTCTTTTTCACAGCCGTTAGAAGCATTTGTTAGCCCTTTAAGGTCCTTTTACAGACCTAAATAACAGATTTCCCATCCTCGGAGACTTAGGGGTAGTCAGTTGGGACGGGAGAAAGGCACGACGAAAGTTTCAAGCACGGGCGGAAAAGCCCCTGGGTACCGATTCTCACCAAGCCTTTTACAAATGGTTAAGCAATTGCTGGCTCCTGACTGGGCACAAAAAATACTTGGTATTGTTGTGCCCATTAGGCGAACAGCATCTCTTGAGTTCTTTTCGTGCTTCATACACGACCGCTCTTGTCTCGCCATACTTGTCCGGTTCGTTCACCAAAGAAATGCACGCCAACTGGAAACTTTCAGTTTAATATAAACTCTCTGAAGGTGCAGATTTCCCTACTCTTTCATATACTTGTGAAATTCTTTATACCTTTTTATATTCCTGAACCCTGAAAAAGGTACCCCTTCTGGGTGGAGCCTCCTTACATACTCACTATGGAGTACACCCGCCACCTCTCCAGGGGGGTTTGAATCGACATCATGTTAGAATCTATGAAAACAGCAAAACCACTTATGGAACGCCATGAAGACTACTCCTTGACTAGCGGCTGAAGTAAAAAATAAAATGCTTAGACTAAAGCCGATTTTCGGAATATCCAAACCGCATACCTCTTAGGATTAGTTACTGCTTGTTGCTAATTATTTTGGTCTGTCGATAACATTCAATTTTTTGCTTCGGCGGATTGCGAAGTAAAAAAGATTCGCGACGCTCAGGAATGTATCAAAGTTGACATTTTGGGACAAGATTGGGCGCGCAAAGTCTGTAGGTTTTCGGTTTTATTCGGTTATTTGACGAAGTGAGAGCCGAATTAGTTCGAGATATCTCGAGATCACGTCGATTTCTTTGATTTACTCTTTAACTTTTTCGAGGAAGAAAGAATTTTTTATTTTGGCTTTCCTGGGTTTGAACCGACTCACCTGTGTGACCCGTCAGATCAGAGGAGACTCTAAGTTGAGGGATTCGCCGATTGCGCTACTGCGACCCAAGGTAGTTCGAGGTATGAAAAATAGTTATGAAATCTTGCACTAGTTTCGGAACAAGATTGGTCGCGCAAGTTCGTGACGTTTCGGCTTGTTTCGGGTATTTCACGAAATGAGACCAGACTACTTCGTGATGTCTTGAAATCACTTCGAGTTTAGCTTTTAATTTACTCGAGGAATAAATAGAGGATATTACGTGGCATCGCAGAGACACGAAATTTCTTTTCGATTGTTGAAAAACGTTTCACGAGTGAGCGCTTCTTTCCAACTGTTTTATGATGAATTTAAAGTTACAAAATGCTGCACAAAGACGTTTTGTCGTTGTTGAGTTTTACGTAGTAAAATTGCTTTCATGCGTTCCGTGACTTTCTCGAATGTTCTCTACGTTTTTGGATTATTCATTAATAATTAATTAGGGAATGTTTACATTTTAGCATGAGTCAGCAGATTTGCATCAGTTACTGAAATCATAAAACATGTCGAAAAGCTACTACTATTCGCCTCTTTAGTATTTTCTGGAACCTTATGTCTAACGGTATCCAAGTTCCAAGCGAGTTCTTTTGACGGACTAAGTTTTTTCCCACGAGCTGGAGTGCTGTGTTTAGTCAAGTTTTACGAAGGTCGATTTTCAAGTTCTGTGTTTACAAGTTGGCGGAAGCCGTAAGATATCTGAAGTTCAAGTGAGAGTTTGTTATTATTGGCAGAGGCTGTTTAGTTTTACTTAAGTTTTAGTCAAGTTTGTGTTTGCGGATGCTGTGTTTTAAAGCTCTGTAAAGACTATGTTCCTTTGGTATTAAACTTCCTTGTGTTAATCCGACATCCGTGCGTGCTGATAGTCAGTGAATAATTATCCTCAAAACATTCGAACTCATAACATTGAGTTTTAGCCAATTCCATGCTCAACGTAATTGACTCCTTACCCAAGCCTTTCAATTATCTTTAATCAGTACATGAGACTGCTATGCTGTTTTTGAAGCCTGATGTGACTAAGAAAAATAGAGAATTCTTTTTTTCACTGTTTGTTTTGTTAGACTTTTATTCACCGCCAGTAACCTCATATTTGACTTAGGTCTAAACGTTTAGACCCAAGTCAAATTTAGAAGGATTTTTATGGAGTCATCAGAGCATAACTGGACTAATATGTCAGAGACAATTTGTCCCGAAATGCTAGTTTTTGGCAAGTAGGCCTCTTGGATGTTGCTGTTTTCACAATATCCTGACAAATCCCATAATTTCACAAATTAACACCTTACTCTTACCACTATTTCTCCGCATTTACAATTAATCAGTTCCACAACCATGACGCCTAAGTGTACGCTCCATAGCGTTTTGTTTTTTTTCTGTAACCGCTTTGATTGTTATCGATTGACGTCGCCTGGTTGTAGCCACTTCGTACCTATTAAGCTTCGAGATTCGTTTCTTCTCCAAGTCATATCAAGTCTTATTATATAAACACCAATGAAATACCAGGTGAGCTTTCGCGAGAAAACATGATATCTTCACACGTGAAAATAACATGTTATTTTCACATGTGAAAATATCACTGTTCCTATGGCTACATAATAAATCGCGCCTTTCGCAGGATAAAACTGTTTCAGTGAAATGGTTTGGTGTTTCATTGGTGGTTATATAATAAATAGAACATTACATGGCCGCTTGGAGATACGAAATTTCTCTTCTCGTGTTGAAATATTTTTCAACACTCGAAGAGAAATTTCGTATCTCCGCGCGGCCATGTAATATCCTCTCTATATCGACTTACGTCAGTTTTTATCAGAGTCTAACTGAGTTGTTTATTCTCGATGTTGGTTGTCATCTGTTTGTTAAGCCGTGATATAATTGGCTGTGCGTCTTAGGCCCGGATCAAATATCTCGTATTAACTTCGGCACATTTAGTTCGACGTTTGTGACCTGATGTTACACGGGATGATTCGCAACGAAAAGTAATTTCAGGGCTCGAAATTGCGACTGATACGGTCGCCAATGCGACTAACATTTTCTCCTTGGCGACTAAAAATTCAAGTTTGGCGACCAGATTTCTCTATGATTTAGATTTAAAATAAAAGAATAAAGTTAAAACAAACATTTCATCTTATCCTGCTTCGCTTTCATCATAAAACATGTGCCAAATCGCATAAACAAAGCCAGTTTACCTCCAAATTTATACCGACTTCTGTCCACGATATTTTCAAATCTGATGGATCGCACCATACTATGCAGGGCTTCTGATAGGTCGCTTAAAAAAAGTCAAATTTCGCGGGATTTTTAGGGGCAAATTCGCGGAAAATCGACCGATTTCGTAGGAATTTTCCCGGCAAACTTAGCCGAAAATCAGTCGGTCAAAAAAGGCCGATTTTGTGGTTATTTTTCGGGAAAACTTCGTCAGAGATCGATCGGTTTTTGCGCTGATCAGACCAGCGTTTTTAATGTTTTTCTAACAGAGTCATCATTTGCTCTTTCAACAACAATACGCTCCAGAACTGAACCAATGGCAAAGCCTCTAACATCATGGCTAGTGCCCAGTTTTTCGCAACATAATCAACGCCTGGTAGTTTCGGAGTTACGGGACGTTGTTTGCACGTTTCAGTGACGAAGTTTCAAGATAAGTTTACAAGTTTACGGCAAGTAAATAGCCCCAATAGCTGAGAAAAGTTTCAAATATGTTGTACAGACATGTATTTGATAAGATTTCTACCGAATTTCGCGGCTCTGCGACGGCGCGAAATATCAGAAGCCCTGACTACGAGCTGCGTCATTTACATTATACGAACTGGCGACTAAAAATTTGCATCTGGCGACTATATTTCTCCAGTTGGTCGCCAAAAGGCGACCAGAGGATTTTTTTAATTTCGAGCCCTGAAATTACAGCATTGTTCTAACACTGCAGCGCGGTGTTGCGCTAAAACTCGTCGTTGCAAATCGTCCCTTGTGGTATCATCTACAAGTAATCTATTCCAGGCTCTCGGATTGCAAGGACGTAGCGATCGCTGCCCATACTGTCTGGGAGCCTGGCTGTTTCGTACGGGGCTCATTTACGAACTTCATCCTTTTTAAGACCCTTCGTTTTCGGGGCCAAGCGTCAATTCTGGAAAAACAGACCTAGACCAGGAAAGGCAAGTTCTTCCTAGGCATTTAACCGGTTCTAAACTCATAGTTTCGTTAATGTCAGCTGTGAAATCTTCGAATTTACGTTGACTGCTGCAGAATTCTCAGAAGATAGGCTGGCTTAACGCTTCACTGCATGTTAAAGTTTGGCGTGAAAGTTCTATTCTGAATCCTCCCGCAGATGGCTGACCAAAGCAAATGTGTGCTGAGGCTGAGCTTGCCCATAAAGATTGAATGATACTTACACAAAGGTTAAACATAATGAGTTGAATTTGACTGAAAAGTTTCTTGTATGCTTTACAAAGATTACGTCAAATCTGATTTTGTTTTTGAACAGAATTTTGCTTTGGTTTTAATTGTATTTAGGTCTCAAAGTTTGAATTTCAACGAAAATATGTTTAAATCAAATAGAAAAATGCAGGGATTAAATTTGACAACATGGGCAATCGTAATTTGGTACAATGAGTTGCGTTGCGCGGTTTACAACAGGCCTTCCGCCTTCGGCCTCGAGCTCAGCACAAGCAAGTCGCAGTGTTACTCGATCTAGTCGTTGTCAAATCGAAAGATCGCTATTATTACCAAAGGGCAATCATGAATGAGAGAGCTAAACTTGTTTTTGTCACATATGTAGTGAAAACGTCTATCTAACCCTAATAAAATACACTTTCTGATTTGCCAGGATCCAATCACGGACTTCTCCTTTCCCATACGGAAAACCGACTGGTTTGGTTTTGAAGAGATCGCGCAGAAGCGAAAGGACATTAAGGAACTTATCTATAAACTGAAAGCAGACGCCGATAGTGCAGGTGACACTTGAAGATACCTTGAAGTCCAGCTTCTCAGTCCCGGTAGGACTGGGACAAGCCTAGACCCAAGATGGTTCCGTTGACAGACCACTGGTTTTGTTGCTGTTAATTAAAGAGTCAAGCATATTTATTGTGGCAATCAGTGTGCTTTACATGTCAACACCGGCAATTCCGCCGCTGCATTTTGTAGCGTCGAAAACAGCGTTGGAAATGTCTACTTCTCCATGCGGCACAAGTTATGTAAAATTCACATGATCATCATTCCAGACTCTTCTGCTAGGTCTCTTCTAGTTAGTTATGGAGCCCCAATTTCAGTTCGAGAACAAGTTCACTGTATTCGATTGTTGCACAGCAAATAGGTATACCGCACTGATTTCGTAGAAATCATTCATTTAAAACACTCTCTATGATCTGACTGAGGACGATGGAGCATAGCGTAGCCTGTCTGTCGCAGTTAGATGGTGATCTTCGCTGCTTCATTTGTGGACCGAAGGAAAAACAAAGACCATGGGAAGTTATAACTGTACTACATATCGTCAAAGTTGACTCTTGGAGGACAAGGTTTAATGTCAGTTCAATATTAAGTCAGTAACGATACTTTTCATAAGCTTTTAAAATGTATGGCAAGAGGAATGCCGCTTCGTTTTGTATTGCCCTTTTGTTCAATAACTGCTTGTGGTAAAATTAGTATTTGAACATGTCTTTGGGCAGCCCATCTTGTTTCCGTTACAAACTTGTACTGGTACTGGAGGTTGAGGTAATTTCAGAGTTGAATTATTTTATATTGTATATATTTATTAGAGAAATAGGAATGAACAAGACAAGAAATGTTCGCATTACCAGGCGCTGAAATTACTGAAAATAAAGTAAATTTATCATCATCAATATATGTAGATGACAGTTGTTTAAATCTGAATTCAAATCTCCCACTAACCCTGGGTAATCGTGCAAACGGACGTAACATTGTTGGCCAAAAACCTCCAACATTGTTGGATGTTACATGTTGGGTCCGTTTGCACGCCCTGTTGCATGTTGTTGGGAGTTGTCGCGTTAAGTTTGAAACCGGTCAAACTTTTGAACCAGCAACTCCCAACATATCTTTTGGTCCGTGATCAACGAAGCGTGGTGCCACGCACGTGCATTACACATGGTGTCCTTCCAAAACTGTTTCATACACAAGTCGTCCAGTAGAGTTTACAAAGTCGTATGGGTTGTATCCTTCCCACGATGCACTGTAGGTAACAATATTGTTGGGAGTTGTTGCACCCGTTTGCACTTGACTGCCAACACGGACGCAACAACTCCCAACATTGCTGGCCGAGCAATGTTGAAAGTTGTTGCGTCCGTTTGTACGTAGCTTAAGAAGCTATGACAGCAACAACGGTGAAAAGTCTGGTCTTACGATAGAAAAATACGACTGACATCATTGGCTAGAGCAGCTCTGCCCCTACCTAGTCAGGGAAACACACATTGTCCTTTGGAAAAAGATACAACTCTCTGCGTACGTTTTTTTCACTTTACAGGGCTCGACGTTGCGACCTGTTGGGTCGCCAATGCGACCAGGTTTTACTCAGTGGCGACCAAATTTTCACGCCTGGTCGCCAACCTGGCCCCCAAGATAGGTGACTTTCTTCTTTGGGAAAAAGTACACTAATGATAATCCGTTGTCCTTCACAAAACTAACCGATAGCTAACGGTTTTTCTAACGCTCTAACGTTTTGCCCAAACGCTCTAATGGTTTGTCCAAACCCTCTAACGATTTGTCTAAACGCTTTAACGATTTCAACACTCTAACGGATTATTCTTATGATTTCCTGAACCTTAAGTTTGAATACCTGTTTGAGGAAAATTACGCTTGAGTGCGGGCTCGTTTTCCCGAACACTGGATCGAGCCTCGAGCGAAAACCGCTCGAAAGAAAGTTCAAAAGGAAGTCTAAAGCACTCTTTTTCTGTTAAGGCTAAGTAAAAGATGTTAATTTAGTTGTATTCGATTAATTCTTAAATATAATTTTTGCAACCAGAATACTTGTTCTGACGACCAAAAATGAAAACTTGGGGGCCAGCTGGCCCGATTTTTTTTTTCTGAAAGTCGAGCACTGCACTGAAGTCAGTGAGGGCGATGTAAATTTTCTTCATGTCCGCTCTGCTGGACTTCGCCTCTGCAGTACATGTGTGTTATTGTTATTACCTGGGACCTGGGACCTGGGACCTAGCCCTCACAGGTTTTCTTTTCAGTGCTGCGTGTTTGTTCTCCTGTACTTTTAAGGGTGGAGTATTAGCTACTTACGAGCACTTTCTTGCTTACGTCGTAACCTTAACCTTACCCATACAATCTATCATATCTTCAAACAGGCCGCAACGCAACGCCTCATAATATTCTACGTGTGGTCATTTGTTTGCATTTGTGGTTTTTCCGCGTTATATTAGCCTGCGCCCAGACGAAACTATATCATAAGCTCTGCTGAAACTCGGTCACCTTTTCAGAAAAGAAAAACTACGCAACAGCGGAAAATGACATCGTCTCTCTTTGCAACCAGTGGAAATCCTTACTCCAAAAGTCATCGCGTGTTTTTAGATAAATCAGGGCAAACTGAGAAGATTAATGATCTTCTACAATTGCATATACCGCCATTGGTACCGATGAAGATTCTCCAGGAACGAAGCTTAAATATTTTAAGCACTGGAAGTGGAAATGGGCAGACCGATTTGTCTTTCCTAAGAGTAATCAAGGAAGAATTGATAAAGACAGACCTCGGGCGCAATGTGAAGATCTTCAACCGAGCCATTGAACCTAACCTATGTTTGTGTGGCCTGTACAAAGCAGCCATTGAAAATTTACCAAGTCCGCTAGACGATGGGAAAACGGCTTTTGACATCCGTCAGCAGTCCTTTGAAGAGTATCAACAAAGCCACAGAGAACCCCTCAGTTTCGACATCATACATTTTATCCACAGCATATATTTTGTAGACATCGAGAAAGCTCTACTGCATTGTTTTGAAAAAGAACTTAGCAGTAAAGGAAAAATAATCTGTATCGCGTCCAGGCGAGATCTTACTTGTAGCGTTGAGTCAAAACTGCAGCAAAAACTGCAGTGGCATGTGGGCAGTGAGATTTACGACGTAGTTGATAAAATGATCCAGATTGCCAACAAAAACGGATGGAAGATTGAGGTTCATTGCCAGGAATATTCAATTGATGTCACCGAGGTCTTTGATCCGCATTCAATCGAAGGAAATCTGCTACTCGACTTCTTGACGCAAACAGAAAATTTTCGTAATACTGAGGACAAAAAGTTTGTTGAAGAAACGTTGTCATTTATCAGAGATCTGACTGTTGTGAAAGACGGAAAATTGTTTGGAGAAAAGAAAGAATCTTTGGTGGTCATCTGTAACTAGTAACACAAACTATCGTGAGGTTTTTTTGAAATTGTATTGTTTTCTGTTTATTTTCTGCTTAGCGACTGAGTTGATTACGTTGCTCCAGCTTGACCCTAGTTTCTAGTTCAAGACGTTTCTTAAATTATAAAATCCTTAATTCGTCAGATTTAGGAGGCCAAACATTAATTTATTCTTTATTCACAGTGATGGGAAACCTTTGTGAGTTATAACATATAAGTAAATAAATAAATATAAATCAGTATATTTAGTTTTCTTATCATTTATAAATTGTTGCGTAAGATCTTTATGTTGATCACGATGTGTAAACAGGAAAAGCTATAGGAACAACTCTGACATACTCTCAGGTTTTTCTGTTTTGTTTTGGTAAACAGTATCTTTCACTTTCAAATCATAATTTGCAATGAACTGATTTAATTATAATCAGGCGTGGTCTATTGATAAACCGATAATCGATACCAATCAATAACAATTGATTTCAATCATCGATTAGTATCGATTTCTGATATCGATTGCTATCGCCTATTATCAGAAAAGACTTGTCTTTTTAGGAGTTCAACATTGACGCGATGTTGCCTGTACGGTATTTTTGAGTCATTGAGTTGTTAAAAGTGTGCAATACTTTCAATCCATAGAGTAGTAAAAGAACAAAAACAGTAACAGGACAAAAAGGTTTATTATTTTCTGTGCTTTGTATGCACAGCGAAATGACAGCTTTTGCCGAAACAAGTACAACAGGTCACGGCTAATACCCTTGTATACACCGCGTTGATCCAATCTAAGCGAGATTGCCAGGGAAGAAATGCAAGATGTAGTCGATAGCGCTGAATTGAATTCGGGGAAAGGGGCGCTCAACAAAGCTTTATACGGGGAGGCTCCGCCCGGAGGTCCAACGTCTCACATTTTTATATACCATTTTTGACGTGAGAATGTATCCCTTTCGTATACCTTCTACCTCCTCATGTGGTCATTTGTTTGCATTTGCATTTGTTTGCATTTGTCGTTTTTCGGCGTTATATTGGCCTGCGCCACAGAAGAAACTATATTGGAAGGTCTGCTGAAACTTGGTCACCTTTTCAGTAAAGAAAAACTACGCAACGGCGGAAAATGACTTCGTTTCTCTTTGCAGCCAGTGGTAATCATTACTCCAAAAGTCATCGGGTGTTTTTAGATAAATCGGGGCAAACTGAGAAGGTTAATGACCTTCTACAATTGCATATACCGCCATTGGTACAGATGAAGACTCTCCAGGAACGAAGCTTAAATATTTTAAGCATTGGAAGTGGAAATGGGCAGACCGATTTGTCTTTCCTAAAAGTAATCAAGGAAGAATTGGTAAAGACAGACCTCTGGCGCAATGTGAAGATCTTCAACCGAGCCATTGAACCTAATCTATTTTCGTGTGGCCTGTACAAAGCAGCCATTGAAAATCTACCAAGTCCGCTAGATGATGGGAAAACGGCTTTTGACATCTGTCAGCAGTCCTTTGAAGAGTATCAACAAAGCCACAGAGAACCCCTCAGTTTCGACATTGTGCATTTCATACACAGCATATATCATGTAGACATTGAGAAAGCTTTACTGCATTGTTTTGAAAAAGAAGTTAGTGGTAAAGGAAAAATAATCTGTATCGCGTCCAGGCGAGATCTTATTAGTAGCGTTGAGTCAAAACTGCAGCAAAAACTGCAGTGGCATGTGGGCAGTGAGATTTACGACGTAGTTGATAAAATGATCCAGATTGCCAACAAAAACGGATGGACGATTGAGGTTCATGACCAGGAATATTCAATTGATGTCACCGAGGTCTTTGATCCGCATTCAATCGAAGGAAATCTGCTACTCGACTTCTTGACGCAAACAGAAAATTTTCGTAATACTGAGGACAAAGAGTTTGTTGAAGAAACGTTGTCATTTATCAGAGATCTGACTCTTGTTAAAGACGGAAAATTGTTTGGAGAAAAGAAAGAATCTTTGGTGGTCATCTGTAACTAGTAACACAAACTATCGTGAGGTTTTTTTGAAATTGTATTGTTTTCTGTTTATTTTCTGCTTAGCGACTGAGGTGATAACGTTGCGTAACGAAAGCCGAATTCAATATTTGTTTTATTATTCACTCAAAATAATTCCTAGTTTAAAAACATAGCTAAAACATGCTTACCTATGGCAAGCCAAATGTAGCAATATTCAATTCGTTTAATTTTATATGTAGTTTTGTATTATGTGTTCAACTATGCGTTTAATATTCAACTTATATTCAACATTCAACGCGTTATTCAATATTCAACTTCGCATTCAACATTCAACTATTCATTTTAAATTCAATTCCTTATTCACCCATTCAATTATCTATTCAACAATTTCAACCATTTATTCAGCATTCAACTTTAATTTTTAAAACATTCAACTATTCATTCAACATTCAACTATTCATTCAACATTCAACTTTAATTCAACATTCAACTATTCATTCAACTCTTTTGAGCCCTCACTACTTCTGGTCAGTGACACAGATCATTGCTTGTTAAAACACAGGCGGCCCAGACGTAGTATGTGTCACTGAATGAATATATTAATATTCACATGGACAAATTAATGGGATGAGTCGTCGAAACTCCCATGGACTAAAATAGTCCAAAAGTCAAAATATAACAAAACAAAGCTAAGATACCTTCAACTGAACGTATCTTGTCTTTCCTGGCCGGTTTAAGTGACATTTTGTTGAGTTTTGCAATTGTAGGTACTATCCACTAAAGAAGAATTAAAGGCTGGCTACAAAACAAACAGACCATCTCCACGCGCCTTCACACGAAGCGCTATAAATTCGAGAATAATCGACGAATCCGCTCCAAATAACCATCGGCTAATCTGCAGGTAACGTGTGCTCCTGCTTCTGGCTCGCTTGCTCCACAAAACCCATCGCAAGTGCACAATAACTGCTCGCTCATCAACAACCACTGTTGACCTTTACGCTTCGATATGACCGCAAACGACCAGGTTTAATACGCGACGTGAATAGTCAAGCTTAGCGACCGCGTTCGCGCAACAATGCAGCACTTGCCATGGGAGGGATGGTACTATTGCTTCTAGGTCAATCGACACTGACCGAAGGTTCGCTGTGTTAGTTTTGACCAGAAAACAAAAGGCGATCGCGGGACCGTCCGTAAGTTTTCAACAGGGCAGCCCTGGTTTTCAAGTTCGAATTCTTCTAACGTTCGCTGTCTCAGCTGCCGTCACATTGTTCGTCCAGCCGCTTGCATAGGTTCTTGACTCTACCAGACTTATTTGGTTAGATTAACAACGTCTTACTCCATAATATATTGTCCAAACTGATGAAGGAGGACGAGAATTTTCCGCCCAGGAAAAAGGAAAAATCTGGCCCCCGCTATGCAGCTGAATAGAAGATACAGCTGAAGATATCGTAAAGTAAAATTCATGGGCGCGATATCTTTTTTTATTATTATTATTATTATTATTATTATTATTCTCAAAACTCAGGGGCACCCAACGATGATTTCCCCCTAAATGCATTGAAAACACATTTAAGGCTGTCCAGAGTACTTTTGATCGAAAAATGCATTCTAAACAGCGCTTACATAAATTTAGTCAGGAGGGCTAAAAGCGAGGCTAATGATTTATAGTTTGCTCATACTAAATATAAAATATATCGTGTAATGCTAAGCGGAGAAGGCAAAGAGACAGGGCCACCCAACGACTGTTTCCTCAAATACTTTCAATTGAAAACACTTTTGAGGCTATTCATAAAGTACTTTTAGCTCTATAAAATTTGCATCTCAGTGTTCGGCCATTCTAGAGGAACTTGAGTCTTTTCGAAATTACGAGGAATTCAGAATAATTTTCCCGAAAATTTTAGATGCAATTTAACGTATTACGAAGGAGATAATTTTTTAGATACCTTCTTTCATCACATTTTTGAATCCGAAAATTTTAGGATTCCTTTTTACTCTCTACGAAAAAGAGCCTAACCCGGTGAGTGAAATGTGAAAAATTAAACGTTGGATGCCCTTGACCAGAACTGTGAAAAACAACAATAGGTCTAATTGCAGCACACTTTCTTGTACATTTCCTTGCCGTTGATTTGCATGACTGCAACGTGAAACGTCCAGAAAACTTCCTGGTTTTCACTTTTTATGGAGAAAATGTGGTACATGTTCTTGTTCACTTTTTCCACTACCGCTCATTTTTTTTAGCTCCGCTATATGATTCGTATCTGTTCGGTGCTCCTTGGGCAAATTGGATCTTTTTAAAAATTACAAGGGCTTCAATATTATTTTCCCGATTGATTGACCTAGAAGCAATAGTACCATCCCTCCCATAGCAAGTGCTGCATTGTTGCGCGAACACGGTCGCTAAGCTTGACTATTCACGTCGCGTATTAAACCTGGTCGTTTGCGGTCATATCGAAGCGTAAAGGTCAACAGTGGTTGTTGATGAGCGAGCAGTTATTGTGCACTTGCGATGGGTTTTGTGGAGCAAGCGAGCCAGAAGCAGGAGCACACGTTACCTGTGATAATATTCTAGAGAACTGTTTCTTTCAAATTTCGTCTTGTTCACGTGCATGCCTACGCATAATTGATGAAAGACAAAGGGTCAAGTTCCCCTGGGACCTCTATTGGCAAACAAAAACATGCAAGCTAAAGAGGTTTGTCGTTGATGCGTGACATCGAAGTCACCTCCTTATCGGCCTCCTCTGAACCTTGGTCGCATTCGTCGTGTTGACTTTTGAATAATCTCTGCTGACGCGGAGCAAACGATCGGTCCCTGCCTTTCTTAGAATACCGGTTGCCTTTTCAAGACCAAAACATACACACCAGCAGAAAATGGGATCGTCCCTCTTTGCAAACAGTGGTAGCCCTTACTCTAAAAGTCATCGCGTGTTTTTAGATAAATCAAGGCAAACTGAGAAGATTAATGACCTTATACAATTGCGTATACCGCCATTGATTGATGAGAAGAAAATTTTCAAGGAACAAAGCTTGAATGTTTTAAGCATCGGGAGTGGAAATGGGCAGGCAGATTTGTTTGTCCTGAAAGTGATCAAGGAACAATTGATGAAGACAGACCTAGGCCATGGTGTCAAGATCTTCAACCGTGCCATTGACCCCAACTTATATTCATGTGATCTGTACAGAGCAGCTATTGAAAATCTACCAAGTCCGCTAAACGATGGCAAAGTGGCTTTTGAAATCTGTCAGCAGTCCTTTGAAGAGTATCAACAAAGCCACAGAGAACCCCTAAGTTTCGACATCGTACATTTCATACACAGCATATATTATGTAGACATCGAGAAAGCTCTACTGCATTGTTTTGAAAAAGAACTTTACGATAAGGGACAAGTAATCTGTATCGCCTCGAGGCGAGGTCTTATTTGTAGCGTCGTGTCAAAACTGCAGCAAAAACTGCAGTGGCATGTGGGCAGTGAGATTTACGATGTAGTTGATAAAATGATCCAGATTGCCAACAAAAACGGATGGAAGATTGAGGTTCATGACCAAGAATATTCAATAGATGTCACCGAGGTCTTTGATCCGCATTCAACCGAAGGGAATCTGCTACTCGACTTCTTGACGCAAACGGAAAATTTTCGTAATACTGAGGACAAAGAGTTTGTTGAAGAAACGTTGTCATTTATCAGAGATCTAACTTTTGTCAAAGACGGAAAATTGTTTGGAGAAAAGAAAGAATCTTTGGTGGTCATCTGTAAATAGTAACACAAACTATCGTGAGATTTTTTCGGAAATTGTTTTATTCTGTTTATTTCCTGCGTAGCGACTAAGGTATTTACGTTACCCCAGCTTTACCCTCGTAACTAGTTCAAGATGGTTCTTAAATAATCAAATCCTTAACTCCTCAGATTGAAGTTCTCACATCGTTTTTCAAGCGAGCGGAGGCAAGCGCGAGAACAGCTCGCTGTGCGAGTGAAGCACGACGAGGGCGGGGGAGGACCAAACCGTAAACGTTTCTGGGAAACTGCCTACCTACTCCTCCCCTAAGCCAACAGGACCAAAAGGTTTATTATTTTCTGCGCTTTGTATGCACAGTGAAATGAAACTGGCTGAAACAAATACAACAGGTCATGGCTAGTGCCTGTATACACACCACGCTGATCCAATCTGACCGAGATTGCCGGGGAAGAAATGCAAGATAGAGTCGATAGCGCTTGATTGAATTCGGGGAAAGGGGCGCTCAACAAAGCTTCATACGGGGAGGCCCCGACTCCAGATCCAACGCCTTAAGGTACTATACAAAAAACATGCGAGTTTTTTGAGAAATTGTCCGAAAATTTTTTTTGCTCGTTTTCACATCTTCAATAATTTATTTTTCTTCCAGCACGATTTTTTTTTTCAGTATTTAATTCGTACAGAGAAAAAAACTGTAATTTCCTAAACACTGTCGCTTGGTTGTCATGGTAACGGCAAGCACCAAAAAGAGAAGAAAAGTCATAAGAGGACTAAAAAAAAGAAAAGAGGACAAAAACAAACAAAGAGAGGGTGTGAACTATGCCTCAGGACAGTTCTAGAGAGTTGTCTATGTGGAAACTCTGTTACAGTCATTGCAAATTCTATTTCTCAAACTTTAAAACATTTTTTCTCATAATTTTATATTTCGCGGAACTATGAACACTCTAGCAACCATAACTTTTCATGGTTTTATTCAATTCTTCTCATTTTTGGAGTGAGAAATCTTTGTATGTTTTTACATGCAATGATCTACAATAATTTATCTTGGTGTAATCTTTGTTGTCTGAGGACCCAAAACTGGATCCTTAATTCAGTTTATTTTGAATGTCAATATGTTTATTGTAATAATTTTGTATCTATTAGCCTGATAAGAATGCCTTTAGTTCATTGCATAAAAAGAATATGTAGATGAAATTCCAAAAGTTTCAGCAGTTTTCCTTGTAATGTCTTGGAGATAGACGTGTTTTTGTACCGGTTATCCCAGGGGGTTTATTTTTAGCATTATTGGTTGCCATGGTAACTAAACAAGACAAAAAGTATAAAAATATACTCATCTCATGCTATATAGTTTAAGAATACCTGGGAATACTTTTGCAAAAGAACATATCAAAAAATAGTGATTTTTGAGGAATGTACCACCTTAACTTTTTATATACCATTTTTGACAGAATGTATCCCTTTCGGATACCTGCTATTGACAAATAGTACCGCTTTCACATACTTACTTTAGATCTGCTATGCATACACCGTCTTTCAAATATGAATAAATCACTAAACCAGCAAGTTTATTGTCTTTTTCACAGCCGTTAGAAGCATTTGTTAGCCCTTTAAGGTCCTTTTACAGACCTAAATAACAGATTTCCCATCCTCGGAGACTTAGGGGTAGTCAGTTGGGACGGGAGAAAGGCACGACGAAAGTTTCAAGCACGGGCGGAAAAGCCCCTGGGTACCGATTCTCACCAAGCCTTTTACAAATGGTTAAGCAATTGCTGGCTCCTGACTGGGCACAAAAAATACTTGGTATTGTTGTGCCCATTAGGCGAACAGCATCTCTTGAGTTCTTTTCGTGCTTCATACACGACCGCTCTTGTCTCGCCATACTTGTCCGGTTCGTTCACCAAAGAAATGCACGCCAACTGGAAACTTTCAGTTTAATATAAACTCTCTGAAGGTGCAGATTTCCCTACTCTTTCATATACTTGTGAAATTCTTTATACCTTTTTATATTCCTGAACCCTGAAAAAGGTACCCCTTCTGGGTGGAGCCTCCTTACATACTCACTATGGAGTACACCCGCCACCTCTCCAGGGGGGTTTGAATCGACATCATGTTAGAATCTATGAAAACAGCAAAACCACTTATGGAACGCCATGAAGACTACTCCTTGACTAGCGGCTGAAGTAAAAAATAAAATGCTTAGACTAAAGCCGATTTTCGGAATATCCAAACCGCATACCTCTTAGGATTAGTTACTGCTTGTTGCTAATTATTTTGGTCTGTCGATAACATTCAATTTTTTGCTTCGGCGGATTGCGAAGTAAAAGATTCGCGACGCTCAGGAATGTATCAAAGTTGACATTTTGGGACAAGATTGGGCGCGCAAAGTCTGTAGGTTTTCGGTTTTATTCGGTTATTTGACGAAGTGAGAGCCGAATTAGTTCGAGATATCTCGAGATCACGTCGATTTCTTTGATTTACTCTTTAACTTTTTCGAGGAAGAAAGAATTTTTTATTTTGGCTTTCCCGGGGTTTGAACCGACTCACCTGTGTGACCCGTCAGATCAGAGGAGACTCTAAGTTGAGGGATTCGCCGATTGCGCTACTGCGACCCAAGGTAGTTCGAGGTATGAAAAATAGTTATGAAATCTTGCACTAGTTTCGGAACAAGATTGGTCGCGCAAGTTCGTGACGTTTCGGCTTGTTTCGGGTATTTCACGAAATGAGACCAGACTACTTCGTGATATCTTGAAATCACTTCGAGTTTAGCTTTTAATTTACTCGAGGAATAAATAGAGGATATTACGTGGCAGCGCAGAGACACGAAATTTCTTTTCGATTGTTGAAAAACGTTTCACGAGTGAGCGCTTCTTTCCAACTGTTTTATGATGAATTTAAAGTTACAAAATGCTGCACAAAGACGTTTTGTCGTTGTTGAGTTTTACGTAGTAAAATTGCTTTCATGCGTTCCGTGACTTTCTCGAATGTTCTCTACGTTTTTGGATTATTCATTAATAATTAATTAGGGAATGTTTACATTTTAGCATGAGTCAGCAGATTTGCATCAGTTACTGAAATCATAAAACATGTCGAAAAGCTACTACTATTCGCCTCTTTAGTATTTTCTGGAACCTTATGTCTAACGGTATCCAAGTTCCAAGCGAGTTCTTTTGACGGACTAAGTTTTTTCCCCACGAGCTGGAGTGCTGTGTTTAGTCAAGTTTTACGAAGGTCGATTTTCAAGTTCTGTGTTTACAAGTTGGCGGAAGCCGTAAGATATCTGAAGTTCAAGTGAGAGTTTGTTATTATTGGCAGAGGCTGTTTAGTTTTACTTAAGTTTTAGTCAAGTTTGTGTTTGCGGATGCTGTGTTTTAAAGCTCTGTAAAGACTATGTTCCTTTGGTATTAAACTTCCTTGTGTTAATCCGACATCCGTGCGTGCTGATAGTCAGTGAATAATTATCCTCAAAACATTCGAACTCATAACATTGAGCTTTAGCCAATTCCATGCTCAACGTAATTGACTCCTTACCCAAGCCTTTCAATTATCTTTAATCAGTACATGAGACTGCTATGCTGTTTTTGAAGCCCGATGTGACTAAGAAAAATAGAGAATTCTTTTTTCACTGTTTGTTTTGTTAGACTTTTATTCACCGCCAGTAACCTCATATTTGACTTAGGTCTAAACGTTTAGACCCAAGTCAAATTTAGAAGGATTTTTATGGAGTCATCAGAGCATAACTGGACTAATATGTCAGAGACAATTTGTCCCGAAATGCTAGTTTTTGGCAAGTAGGCCTCTTGGATGTTGCTGTTTTCACAATATCCTGACAAATCCCATAATTTCACAAATTAACACCTCACTCTTACCACTATTTCTCCGCATTTACAATTAATCAGTTCCACAACCATGACGCCTAAGTGTACGCTCCATAGCGTTTTGTTTTTTTTCTGTAACCGCTTTGATTGTTATCGATTGACGTCGCCTGGTTGTAGCCACTTCGTACCTATTAAGCTTCGAGATTTCTTCTCCAAGTCATATCAAGTCTTATTATATAAACACCAATGAAATACCAGGTGAGCTTTCGCGAGAAAACATGATATCTTCACACGTGAAAATAACATGTTATTTTCACATGTGAAAATATCACTGTTCCTATGGCTACATAATAAATCGCGCCTTTCGCAGGATAAAACTGTTTCAGTGAAATGGTTTGGTGTTTCATTGGTGGTTATATAATAAATAGAACATTACATGGCCGCTTGGAGATACGAAATTTCTCTTCTCGTGTTGAAATATTTTTCAACACTCGAAGAGAAATTTCGTATCTCCGCGCGGCCATGTAATATCCTCTCTATATCGACTTACGTCAGTTTTTATCAGAGTCTAACTGAGTTGTTTATTCTCGATGTTGGTTGTCATCTGTTTGTTAAGCCGTGATATAATTGGCTGTGCGTCTTAGGCCCGGATCAAATATCTCGTATTAACTTCGGCACATTTAGTTCGACGTTTGTGACCTGATGTTACACGGGATGATTCGCAACGAAAAGTAATTTCAGGGCTCGAAATTGCGACTGATACGGTCGCCAATGCGACTAACATTTTCTGCTTGGCGACTAAAAATTCAAGTTTAGTCGCCAAAGTGGCGACCGGATTTCTCTATGATTTAGATTTAGATTAACAGAGTTGAGTTAAAACAAACATTTCATTTTATCCTGCTTTGCTTTCATCATAAAACATGTGCCAAATCGCATAAACAAAGCCAGTTTACCTCCAAATTTATACCGACTTCTGTCCACGATATTGTCAAATCTGATGGATCGCACCATACTATGCAGGGCTTCTGATAGGTCGCTTAAAAAAAGACAAATTTCGCGGGATTTTTAGGGGCAAATTCGCGGAATTTTCGCGGCAAACTTAGCCGAAAATCAATCGGTCAAAATCAGACCAGCGTTTTTAATGTTTTTCTAACAGAGTCATCATTTGCTCTTTCAACAACAATACGTTCCAGAACTGAACCAATGGCAAAGCCTTTAACATCATGGCTAGTGCCCAGTTTTTCGCAACATAATCAACGCCTGGTAGTTTCGGAGTTTCGGGACGTTGTTTGCACGTTTCAGTGACGAAGTTTCAAGATAAATTTACAAGTTTACGGCAAGTAAATAGCCCCAATAGCTGAGAAAAGTTTCAAATATGTTTTACAGACATGTATTTGATAAGATTTCTACCGAATTTCACGGTATTTTGCGTGTTTTTGTGAATTTCGCGGCTCTGCGACGGCGCGAAATATCAGAAGCCCTGACTACGAGCTGCGTCATTTACATTACACGAACTGGCGACTAAAAATTTGCATCTGGCGACTATATTTCTCCAGTTGGTTGCCAAAAGGCGACCAGAGGATTTTTTTAATTTCGAGCCCTGAAGTTACAGCATTGTTCTAACACTGCAGCGCGGTGTTGCGCTAAAACTCGTCGTTGCAAATCGTCCCTTGTGGTATCATCTACAAGTAATCTATTCCAGGTTCTCGGATTGCAAGGACGTAGCGATCGCTGCCCATACTGTCTGGGAGCCTGGCTGTTTCTTACGGAGCTCATTTACGAACTTCATCCTTTTTAACACCCTTCGTTTTCGGGGCCAAGCGTCAATTCTGGAAAAAGAGAGCTAGACCAGGAAAGGCAAGTTCTTCCTAGGCATTTAACCGGTTCTAAACTCATAGTTTCGTTAATGTCAGCTGTGAAATCTTCGAATTTACGTTGACTGCTGCAGAATTCTTAGAAGATAGGCTAGCTTAACGCTTCACTGCATGTTAAAGTTTGGCGTGAAAGTTCGTTTCTGAATCCTCCCGCAGATGGCTGACCAAAGCAAATGTGTGCTGAGGCTGAGCTTGCCCATAAAGATTGAATGATACTTACACAAGGGTTAAACGTGATGAGTTGAATTTGATTGAAGAGTTTCTTGTATGCTTTACAAAGATTAAGTCAAATCTGATTTTGTTTTTGAACAGAATTTTGCTTTGGTTTTAATTGTATTTAGGTCTCAAAGTTTGAATTTCAACGAAAATATGTTTAAATCAAATAGAAAAATGCAGGGATTAAATTTGACAAAATAGGCGATCATAATTTGGTACAATGAGTTGCGTTGCGTGGTTTACAACAAGCCTCCAGCCTTCGGCCTCGAGCTCAGCACAAGCAAGTCGCAGTGATACTCGATCTAGTCGTTGTCAAATCGAAAGATCGCTATTATTACCAAAGGGCAATCATGAATGAGAGAGCTAAACTTGTTTTTGTCACATACGTAGTGAAAACGTCTAACTAACCCTAACAAAATACACTTTCTGATTTGCCAGGATCCAATCACGGACTTCTCCTTTCCCATAAGGAAAACCGACTGGTTTGGTTTTGAAGAGATCGCGCAGAAGCGAAAGGACATTAAGGAACTTATCTATAAACTGAAAGCAGACGCCGATAGTGCAGGTGACACTTGAAGATACCTTGAAGTCCAGCTTCTCAGTCCCGGTAGGACTGGGACAAGCCTAGACCCAAGATGGTTCCGTTGACAGACCACTGGTTTTGTTGCTGTTAATTAAAGAGTCAAGCATATTTATTGTGGCAATCAGTGTGCTTTACATGTCAACACCGGCAATTCGGCCGCTGCATTTTGTAGCGTCGAAAACAGCGCTGGAAATGTCTACTTCACCGTGCGGCACAAGTTATATATAATTCACATGATCATCACTTCAGACTCTTCTGCTAGGTCTCTTCAAGTTAGTTATGGAGCTCCGATTTCAGTTCGAGAACAAGTTCACTGTATTCGATTGTTGCACAGCAAATAGGTATATACCACACTGATTTCGTAGAAATCATTCATTTAAAACACTCTCTATGATCTGACTGAGGACGATGGAGCATAGCGTAGCCTGTCTGTCGCAGTTAGATGGTGATCTTCGCTGATGCATCTGTGGACCGAAGGAAAACCAAAGACCATGGGAAGTTATAACTGCGCTACATATCGTCAGAGTTGATTCTAGGAGGACAAGGTTTAATGTCAGTTCAATATTAAGTCAGTAATTATACTTTTCATAAGCTTTTAAAATGTATGGCAAGGGGAATGCCGCTTCGTTTGTGTTGCCCTTTTGTTTAATAACTGATTCTGGTAAAATTAGTATTTGAACTTGTCTTTGGGTAGTCCATCTTGTTTCCGTTACAAACTTGTACTGGTACTGGAGGTTGAGGTAATTTCAGAGTTGAATTATTTTATATTGTATATATTTATTAGAGAAACAGGAATGAACAAGACAAGAAATGTTCGTATTACCAGGCGCTGAAATTACTGAAATAAATTAAATTTATCATCTATATGTGTAGATGACAGTTATTTAAATCTGAATTCACATCTCCCTCTAACCCTGGGTAATCGTGCAAACGGACGTAACATTGTTGGCCAAAAACCTCCAACATTGTTGGATGTTACATGTTGGGTCCGTTTGCACACCATGTTGCATGTTGTTGGGAGTTGTCGCGTTAAGTTTGAAACCGGTCAAACTTTTGAACCAGCAACTCCCAACATATCTTTTGGTCCGTGATCGCCGAAGCGTGGTTTCACGCACGTGCATTACACATGGTGTCCTTCCAAAACTGTTTCATACACAAGTCGTCCAGTAGAGTTTACAAAGTCGTATGGGTTGTATCCTTCCCACGATGCACTGTAGATAACAATATTGTTGGGAGTTGTTGCATCCGTTTGCACTTGACTGCCAACACGGACGCAACAACTCCCAACATTGCTGGCCAACAATGTTGAAAGTTGTTGCGTCCGTTTGTACGTAGCTTAAGAAGCCATGACAGCGACAACGGTGAAAAGTCTGGTCTTACGATAGAAAAAAACGACTGACATCATTGGCTAGAGCAGCTCTGCCCCTGGCTAGTCAGGGAAACACACATTGTCCTTTGGAAAAAGATACAACTCTCTGCGTACGTTTTTTTCACTTTACAGGGCTCGACGTTGCGACCTGTTGGGTCGCCAATGCGACCAGGTTTTACTCAGTGGCGACCAAATTTTCACGCCTGGTCGCCAACCTGGCCCCCAAGATAGGTGACTTTCTTCTTGGGGAAAAAGTACACTAATGATAATCCGTACGTTGTCCTTCACAAAACTAACCGATAGCTAACCGGTTTTCTAACGCTCTAACGTTTTGCCCAAACGCTCTAGCGGTTTGTCCAAACCGTCTAACGATCTGTCTAAACGCTTTAACGATTTCAACACTCTAACGGATTATTCTTATGATTTCCTGAGCCTTAAGTTTGAATACCTGTTTGAGGAAAATTACGCTTGAGTGCGGGCTCGTTTTCCCGAACTCTGGATCGAGCCTCGAGCGAAAACCGCTCAAAAGAAAGTTCAAAAGGAACTCTAAAGCACTCTTTTTCTGTTAAGGCAAAGTAAAAGATGTTAATTTAAATTAATTCTTAAATATAATTTTTGGAACCAGAATACTTGTTCTGACGACCAAAAATGAAAACTTGGGGGCCAGCTGGCCCGATTTTTTTTTTCTGAAAGTCGAGCACTGCACTGAAGTAAGTGAGGGCGTGTAAATTTTCTTCATGTCCGCTCTGCTGGACTTCGCCTCTGCAGTACATGTGTGTTATTGTTATTACTAGCGGACCTGGGACCTGGGACCTAGCCCTCACAGGTTTTCTTTTAAGTACTGCGTGTTTATTCTCCTGTACTGGAAAGGGTGGAGTATTAGCTATTTACGACTTTATCCACTAGCACTTTCTTGTTTACGTCTTAACCTTAACCTTACCCATACAATCCATCCTTTCTTCAAACAGGCCGTAACGCAACGGCTCATAATATTCTACGTGTGGTTATTTGTTTGCGTTTGTCGTTTTTTCGCGTTATATTAGCCTGCGCCACAGACAAAACTATATTGGAGGCTCTGCTGAAACTCGGTCACCTTTTCAGTAAAGAAAAACTACGCAACAGCGGAAAATGACATCGTCTCTCTTTGCAACCAGTGGAAATCCTTACTCCAAAAGTCATCGCGTGTTTTTAGATAAATCAAGGCAAACTGAGAAGATTAATGATCTTCTACAACTGCATATACCGCCATTGGTACCGATGAAGACTCTCCAGGAACGAAGCTTAAATATTTTAAGCATTGGAAGTGGAAATGGGCAAACCGATTTGTCTTTCCTAAGAGTGATCAAGGAAGAATTGATAAAGACAGACCTCGGGCGCAATGTGAAGATCTTCAACCGAGCCGTTGAACCTAACCTATCTTCGTGTGGCCTGTACAAAGCAGCCATTGAAAATTTACCAAGTCCGCTAGACGATGGGAAAACGGCTTTTGACATCTGTCAGCAGTCTTTTGAAGAGTATCAACAAAGCTACAGAGAACCCCTCAGTTTCGACATCATACATTTCATACACAGCATATATTTTGTAGACATCGAGAAAGCTCTACTGCATTGTTTTGGAAAAGAACTTAGCAGTAAAGGAAAAATAATCTGTATCGCGTCCAGGCGAGATCTCATTTGTAACGTTGCGTCAAAACTGCAGCAAAAATTTCAGTGGCATGTGGGCAGTGAGATTTACGACGTAGTCGACAAAATGATCCAGATTGCCAACAAAAACGGATTGAAGATTGAGGTTCATGACCAAGAATATTCAATTGATGTCACCGAGGTCTTTGATCCGCATTCAACCGAAGGAAATCTGCTACTCGACTTCTTGACGCAAACGGAAAATTTTCGTAATACTGAGGACAAAGAGTTTGTTGACGAAATGTTGTCATTTATCAGAGATCTGACTTTTGTTAAAGACGGAAAATTGTTTGGAGAAAAGAAAGAATCTTTGGTGGTCATCTTTAACTAGTAACACAAACTATCGTGAGGTTTTTTTGAAATTGTATTGTTTTCTGTTTATTTTCTGCTTAGCGACTGAGGTGATTACGTTGCCCCAGCTTGACCGTAGTCTCTAGTTCAAGATGTTTCTTAAATTATAAAATCCTTAATTCTTCAGATTGAGGAGGCCAAACATTAATTTATTCTTTATTCACAGTGATGGGAAACCTTTGTGAGTTATAACACATAAGTAAATAAATAAATATAAATCAGTATATTTAGTTTTCGTATCATTTATAAATTGTTGCGTAAGATCTTTATGTTGATCACGATGTGTAAACAGGAAAAGCTAGAGGAACAACTCTGACATACTCTCAGGTTTTTCTGTTTTGTTTTGGTAAACAGTATCTTTCACTTTCAAATCATAATTTGCGATGAACTGATTTAATTATAATTAGGCGTGGTCTATTGATAAACCGATAATCGATACCAATCAATAACAATTGATTTCAATCATCGATTAGTATCGATTTCTGATATCGATTGCTATCGCCTATTATCAGAAAAGACTTGTCTTTTAAGGAGTTCAGCATTGACGCGATGTTGCTTGTACGGTATTTTTGAATCATTGAGTTGTTAAAGTGTGCAATACTTTCAATCCATAAAAAAGTTTAAGAACAAAAACAGAAACACGACAAAAAGGTTTAGATGTAGTCGACAGCGCCGAATTGAATTCGGGGAATGGGGCACTCAACAAAGCTTTATACGGGGAGGCTCCACCCGGAGGTCCAACGCCTCACATTTTTATTTACCATTTTTGACGTGAGAATGTATCCCTTTCGTATGCATTCTATTGACAAATAGTACCCCTTTCACATACTTAGTTTAGATCTGCTGTACATACACCGTCTTTCAAATATGAATAAATCACTAAACCAGGAAGTTTCTTGTCTTTTTCATAGCCGTGAGATGCATTTGTTAGCCCTTTTAGGTCCCTTTACAGACCTAAACAATAGATTTCCCTACTCTTTTATACACTTGTGAAATGCTTACCTTTTTATATTCTTGAAGCCTTAAAAAGGTATACCCCTTCTGGGTGGAGCCTCCTTACATTCGCCACTATAAGGAGCACAACCGTCACCTCTCCAGGGGGAGATTGAATCGACATCTCAGAATCTATGAAAACAGCAAAACCACAAATGGAACGCCATGAAGACTACTCCTTGACTAGTGGCTGAAGTAAAATTGTTTACGAGATTTTCAGGATATCTGAACCGTATACTGTTCAGGATCAGTTATTTAACAGTTAATGAATGAGGCTGAGTATCTTATGAAGAATTATGGGGGTGTTATCCGTCGAGGCCGTAGGCCGAGGAGGATTACACCCTCCAAGATCTCCACAATTCTTCATATGATACGAAAGCCGAATTCAATATTAGTTTAAAAACATAGCTAAAACAAGCTTACCTCCATCAATCCATCGATGTTCAGTTCATCTTCGATAGTGTACGTTTAGGTTTGTCTAGCTCCGCAAATATTCTCCAAATAGCAGATGTCGCCCTCCGAGTTGTCTTCTTGCTGTTTTTGCTATGTTTTTAACTATTACTTCGCCTAGTTCCAGCTGCAGCACTTACACTTGAAACGAGTGAAGTGTCGGCCATTTTTGTTTTCACAACCAAAACAACTCAGCCTCGTCCCCAGGTCTTCTCGGTTAACGGTTCAGTAATCTGTAGAAGGCTGCATTTTTCATGTCATTTCCTCGTTAAACACAAAATTCTTCCAAATTTGGTCATCAGTAACTGGTTATGGTGAATTAAACGTGTGCTTTTAGCCAATCAGAATCGGGGAAATATTTTGAATGAATAATAATGCTTGTTACTGATCATTTTGGTTCTATCGATAACAATCGGTTTCTTTTTCTGTAACCGCTTCGATTGTTATCAATTGACAACGGCTGGTTGTAGCCACCGCGTACCTATTTAACTTCGGAATTTGTTTCTCCTACAAGTCATATCAAGTCATATCGACTTTTATCATATAGACACGAGTGTTTTACTGGAAAATATACCACTCGTAAAATTGATAAAAACTCCATCCGGGACCCGAGTGGTTTATTTTCCATAATCTCACACGTGAGTTTATCTATGACGTAATTTCGGTAATTTCCCTCCAAAATTTATAGGCGTCTTGCGTCCTTTGAATTTTAATTACACATTTTTCAAAGCTTTGCTTATATTTCGTCATTGTAGAGCCCTGTTCAGCTCAGTGGTATTTCTAAAGATTATTGTAAACAATGTCTTATATCGCTGTACTGTAAATTTGAGCCGTCACAATTACTTTTTGCCGAATAAAAATCTATTATTTTATCGATGTCTTTTTGTCTATATAATAAAGAGAACATTACACGGCGGCTTGAAGAAATGAATTTTATTTTCTCGTGGCAAAAACAATATTTTACTCACTCGCTGCGCTCGTTCGTAAAATATTGTTTTGCCACTCGAAAATAAAATTCATATCTTCGCGCCACCGTGTAATATCTTCTATATATTTTACACTTAATGTCAGATCCCGAGGGAAAAAGTTAGTTTTGTTTTCCCGAGAGTCCTGATGTTTCCCGAGACGAAGTCGAGAGAAACATCAGGACTCGAGGGAAAACAATAATTGGAAATATCAGGACTCGAAGGAAAACAATACTAACTGGTTTCCCAAGGGACCTGACATTAGGTGTTTTGTTATATTTCTAGACTTTCTCTTCAACAGCAACAAAAGAATAACCGGAACGAACCAAAACAGTCCACTCGGTAGTTATAACAACACAAATTTAATTCTTAAAACCACTGAATGAATGATTTACAAAGTACTTTCCTTATATTATCTGCATCTTTTTCCTCCACTAGCTGCTGTTTCTCTTCTAGGATGGCTTTAATAATCGTTGCTTTTTAGCTTGAAGCTTCGTGTTTGTGTTTAGGGTTTAGCGGGCCAGCTGGCCCGAATTTTTTTTCTGAAAGTCGAGCACTGCACTAAAGTAAGTGAGGGCGATGTAAATTTTCTTCATGTCCGCTCTGCTGGACTTCGCCTCTGTAGTACATGTGTGTTATTGTTATTACCAACGGACCTGGGCCCTAGCCCTCACAGGTTTTCTTTTCAGTACTGCGTGTTTGTTCTCCTGTACTGGAAAGGGTGGAGTATTAGCTATTTACGAGTTTATCCTCTAGCACTTTCTTGTTTACGTCTTAACCTTAACCTTACCCATAGAATCCATCATATCTTCAAACAGGCCGTAACGCAACGCCTCATAATATTCTACGTGTGGTCATTTGTTGGCGTTTGTCGTTTTTCCGCGCTATATTAGCCTGCGCCACAGACAAAACTATATTGGAAGCTCTGCTGAAACTCGGTCACCTTTTCAGTAAAGAAAAACTACGCAACAGCGGAAAATGACATCGTCTCTCTTTGCAACCAGTGGAAATCCTTACTTGAAAAGTTATCGCGTGTTTTTAGATAAATCAGGGCAAACTGAAAAGATTAATCATCTTCTACAATTGCATATACCGTCATTGCTACCGATGAAGATTCTCCAGGAACGAAGCTTAAATATTTTAAGCATTGGAAGTGGAAATGGGCAGACCGATTTGTCTTTCCTAAGAGTAATCAAGGAAGAATTGATAAAGACAGACCTCTGGCGCAATGTGAAGATCTTCAACCGAGCCGTTGAACCTAACCTATTTTCGTGTGGCCTGTACAAAGCAGCCATTGAAAATCTACCAAGTCCGCTAGACGATGGGAAAACGGCTTTTGACATCTGTCAACAGTCCCTTGAAGAGTATCAACAAAGCCACAGAGAACCCCTCAGTTTCGACATCGTACATTTCATACACAGTATATATTTTTTAGACTTCGAGAAAGCTCTACTGCATTGTTTTGAAAAAGAACTTAGCGATAAAGGAAAAATAATCTGTATCGCGGCCAGGCGAGATCTCGCTTGTAGCGTTCTTTCAAAACTGCAGCAAAAACTGCAGTGGCATGTGGGCAGTGAGATTTACGACGTAGTTGATAAAATGATCCAGATTGCCAACAGAAACGGATTGAAGATTGAGGTTCATGACCAGGAATATTCAATTGATGTCACCGAGGTCTTTGATCCGCATTCAATCGAAGGAAATCTGCTACTCGACTTCTTGACGCAAACGGAAAATTTTCGTAATACTGAGGACAAAGAGTTTGTTGAAGAAATGTTGTCATTTATCAGAGATCTGACTTTTGTTAAAGACGGAAAATTGTTTGGAAAAAAGAAAGAATCTTTGGTGGTCATCTGTAACTAGTAACACAAACTATCGAGAGGTTTTTTTGAAATTGTATTGTTTTCTGTTTATTTTCTGCTTAGCGACTGAGGTGATTACGTTGCCCCAGCTTGACCCTAGTTTCTAGTTCAAGACGTTTCTTAAATTATCAAATCCTTAATTCGTCAGATTGAGGAGGCCAAACATTAATTTATTCTTTATTCACAGTGATGGGAAACCTTTGTGAGTTATAACATATAAGTAAATAAATAAATATAAATCAGTATATTTAGTTTTCTTATCATTTATAAATTGTTGCGTAAGATCTTTATGTTGATCACGATGTGTAAACAGGAAAAGCTAGAGGAACAACTCTGACATACTCTCAGGTTTTTCTGTTTTGTTTTGGTAAACAGTATCTTTCACTTTCAAATCATAATTTGCGATGGACTGATTTAATTAAAATCAGGCGTGGTCTATTGATAAACCGATAATCGATACCATTCACTAACAATTGATTTCAATCATCGATTAGTATCGATTTCTGATATCGATTGCTATCGCCTATTATCAGAAAAGACTTGTCTTTTAAGGAGTTCAACATTGACGCGATGTTGCTTGTACGGTATTTTTGAGTCATTGAGTTGTTAAAAGTGTACAATACTTTCAATCCATAGAGTAGCAAAAGAACAAAAACAGTAACAGGACAAAAAGGTTTATTATTTTCTGTGCTTTGTATGCACAGCGAAATGACAGCTTTTGCCGAAACAAGTACAACAGGTCACGGCTAATACCCTTGTATACACCGCGTTGATCCAATCTAAGCGAGATTGCCAGGGAAGAAATGCAAGATGTAGTCGATAGCGCTGAATTGAATTCGGGGAAAGGGGCGCTCAACAAAGCTTTATACGGGGAGGCTCCGCCCCGAGGTCCAACGTCTCACATTTTTATATACCATTTTTGACGTGAGAATGTATCCCTTTCGTATACCTTCTACCTCCTCATGTGGTCATTTGTTTGCATTTGCATTTGTTTGCATTTGTCGTTTTTCGGCGTTATATTGGCCTGCGCCACAGACGAAACTATATCATAAGCTCTGCTGAAACTTGGTCACCTTTTCAGTAAAGAAAAACTACGCAACGGCGGAAAATGACTTCGTTTCTCTTTGCAACCAGTGGTAATCATTACTCCAAAAGTCATCGGGTGTTTTTAGATAAATCGGGGCAAACTGAGAAGGTTAATGACCTTCTACAATTGCATATACCGCCATTGGTACAGATGAAGATTCTTGTAACTACCGACCGTCGTCAGTTTATTTTATTCTATTTGTTTTATTTTTCCCCCTTTTTTTTTATTTTTTTTATTTGCATATCTGCGTTTTGGTTCGCACTTCCGGTCACATGATAGTCATGTGACCGGAGAGCACATGGTAGAGCTAGGCGCCATTTTTTGTTGTTGTTTTTCTGCAAGAGCAAACAGTTCTTCAACGTACAAGTACAAGTACAAGTATAAGTATAAGGACACGTACACTGTATATTTAAAGTGACATTTTTGGAGCAAGTACAGGAAGCAGTATTCAGGGAATAAAGTGCTTTAACCAGGGTTCCGTTTGTGGAACTCACAGTTGAAGAACTGTTCGCCGAATCGACTGATGTTTGGGTTCTCAGGGAGAACACAGCTTCGACGAGTTTGAATTTCATTGATCGGATTTGGAACTTGCTTTCAAGGAAAGCACGGCATCAAGTAAGGATTTATCTGTTATTTTTCGCATTTGCATTTGGATCGTTTTGTTCTCAGGGAGAACATTTATTTGACAAGAATTTGTTGTGATTTGTCGCATTTGGAACTTTGTCGCGTTCATTGGAATTGTCCACATCTACGGATTATTCAAGCTTACGTCTACTTCAATTCTTCGCGGAGAACGATATTCTAACAGGGATTGGTTCTTATTTACGTCTGGATTTGTTGCTCATTCAAGTGTGTGGGAACGTTTGGATCGTTTTGTTCTCAGGGAGAACATTTATTTGACAAGAATTTGTTGTGATTTGTCGCATTTGGAACTTTGTCGCGTTCATTGGAATTGTGTCCACGTCTACGGATGATTCAAGCTTACGTCTAGTTCAATTCTTCGCGGAGAACGATATTCTAACAGAGATTGGTCTCATTCACGTGTGGATTTGTTGCTCATTCAGTTGTTTGGAAACGTTTTGGATCGTTTTGTTCTCGGGGAGAACATTAGTTTATGCGAACGATTTTCGTGTTATTTGACACTGCATCACGCTCGTTGCTTTGCGAGAATTGTTTTACATGTACAACCTTTGAGACTTGTGTGGGACTTTTATATTACTTATTTGCTATCAGAGAAAATAGTGGATGTCTAAGGTATGTGACAATAGCCATCTTGTTTGTGTTTGGAGTTTATTTGTTTTGTGGCCAATAGTACAGTGGAGCAAAATGTCTGTTCGATCAGTGCCTGTTGCTGACAAACTGGAACAACAAAATGTCCAGGAAACTCTGTCAGAGAGCAGACTTGGAACCCAATTAAGAAGAAGTTCCCGAGTTAAAGTACCATCTAATATAGATTTTGAAAGTAGAACAGCTGAGAGGGCAAACACATTGAAATATTCCTGTGCAGGTTATGTTGCAACCCTCACGAGACTGCGAGGGAACATTCAAGGCATAATTGAGAACTGTGGAACTTTGGAGGACTTACAATTAAAGCGAGATTCGTATGAAGAAGCTTGGAGGAGATTCGTGAACACCCATGAAGAGTACATTGAATGTCTTGATGTTCTTAGTCGTTGTGAAGACGTTGAAAGGGCTGACGCTAACTACAAGGAGCAGATGTCAAAGAAAGCAACATTTGACAATGAAATTGAAACATGGAAATTCCAAGTCACGTCTAGTATTAAGAAACGAGAGAATGACTTGAAATCCTATCCAAGAAAGTCAAGGAAGAGTACGAAAAGCGGGTCAACTGGCTCAAGTTCAGCTTCATTAGCAGTGGCGAAGAAAAAGGAAAAACTTGCCCTAGCCCAACTGAAGACCAAGCAAGTGCTGCAGGAACAACAGTTACAACGCAAATTAAGTGAGCTTCAATTTGAGAGGGACATGTTGGAGGCTAAGATGGAGGAAGAGCGGGCTAAAGCGAGTCTTAATGTGTATGAAGAGTTTGAGAATCAATGCAGGAAGAGTCAGTATAGGGAGCGTTTAGCAGAGTTTATACCTGAGGAAACCTTACATCCACATGGGAATCAGGCACAGAATGTGGCTCAGTCGCAGCTAATCGAGCCACACGAACAACTAGTACAAGAGCTTGCACCTCTGGAGCAGGTGCCTGCATTAAGAGTCAATGAGAGAATCATGAATTCAGCTGCTAAGACATTTCAGTCAGCAAGCGTTACAGTGCCCAACCCAGTGTTCTCAGAAACCGAGCATACAGTTTATGTTGATGAAGCTGGAACAGGTAAACATACAGAGCAACTGAATAACGCAAAGGACACTGAAGCATTGAGAAATCCGCCTGTAAATCCATCAGTGCTAAATTTATCACAACAAGTACAGACACCACTAACAACCCACTTTAACACCAAAGAGTACTCACAATGGCCAACTCAGGTACCCTGGTCCCAGACCCCTGGTGCAGTTCCAGCAGAATGTTATATGCGAGAACCAGTATCGGTGACACCAGATAGCAGAGCAGAGATAGTACAAGCACTGCGTCAAGTTGTTTCTGCCCCAAGGATTGAGTACATGAGATTCGATGGAGACCCCATAAAGTATGTCTCGTTCATGCACAATTTTGAAACCTGCTTAGAGAAAGATAACCCCGACAACTCCAGGAGATTACAGCTATTAATCCAACACTGTTATGGCAAGGCAAGGGATGCCATTGAAAGTTGTGTGAATCTACCAGTAGACGAGGGATATTATGTAGCTAAGAATACCTTACGCGAAAACTTTGGACTGCCTCACATCATAGCCAAAGCACATATCAAGAAGTTGGAAGACCTACCTCCCTTGAAACAGGCGAATGGAGCAAGTTTACTTGAATTTGCCCGCCATTTAGATGTTGCCAATAGAACACTGTCAGGCATGGGGCCTGAATACGTCAGTGATTTGAATCACACGAATACGTTAAGGGAACTGAACAAGAAGCTGCCACTGTTTATGAGGGTCAAGTGGACAGAATGTGCAGGAAGGATTATTTCATTTGGATCGAAACCTAAGTTTGCAGACTTCCTTAAACACTTAAAGGACAGAGCTGCGCTTGTTAATAATGAGTTTGGAGAGGATCTTAACGCTGCTCCTTCGAAGGAAAGGGAGAATGTGAATCGGAGAGACCAACGAGGTCGAAATCCTCGAAGACTTGTGTCACTATCTGGAGGTGTCCGAGGTCGACAGGAAAATGGGGGACACAACCAAAAAATGCCTGCTTGTACCGTTTGTCGTGGTCAGCATGGATTGTGGAGGTGTGATAAGTTTAAGAAGCAATCTCATCAAGACAGATGGAAAGTAGTGCATGAACAGAGCCTTTGTATCAAGTGTCTCCAGAGCGGTCATTTTGCAAGAAACTGCCCCAAAACTCAGTTCAAATGTCAAGTGAATGGATGTAAGAAGGAACACAACACACTGCTACACCCCCCTCCAGCAGATTCAACCCCACCAAGTGTTAATCCACGCCAGCTTAATCAGGAAGAAACAAGGGCGAACACCAACAGTGAAACCAGTGGAGTAACTAGTGAAGGTGCTGCCGTAACTGCTGCAACTGGGGCCGGCGAGCGAGTCTGTCTTAGTGTTGTTCCAGTCAAGGTCCTAGCCAAAGGTAGCAATTTGATACCTGTTGAAACATATGCGTTGTTGGACAGTGGCTCAGAAGTGACTCTTTACCATGAAAAGTTGAAGGAGACATAGGGTGCAAGCGGCATGAGGCTGGACTTCACTTTAGCAGGGATGACGGGCTCAGCCAGAGTGGAAAGTCAACAAGTAGATCTTGTGGTGATGTCAATGGATGAATCAGTGACAGTGGAACTTTCAAGCGTCAGGACAGTCAAGCATATGCCTATAACTGAGAGCTGTATAGCCAAGAAGGAGGACCTTGAAAATTGGCCTCATTTGCGTGATATTGAGTTACAACAGTTGGACATCACAAGTGTCATGTTAATTGTTGGTCTTAAAGACAACCCGAGCTTGTTCTTGCCGTTAGAATGCCGAGCTGGTGGCAAAGGAGAACCAGTAGCAATTAGGTACAGCCTGGGATGGACGGTGATAGGTCCTGTTGGTGGAGAAAGCTGTACTGCAGAACGCTCAGTCAACTACCTACGTATGGAAGATAGCTCTGTTGTGTGCGCAGGTGGTTTAGATTTTGAAGATTATGTTCTTTGCAAAGACCACAAGAAGAGTGTTGTGTTGTCTACAGGGCTAAACAGTGAAGATGCCTATGAAGAGAATGTTGCAGACATGAACTGTGTCCTTGAACTAGAATGTAATGCCAATGAACCCAAGCATCGTTTACAGATAGATGAAATTGATCGTCAAGCTCGGGACGATGAGCTTAGTCAACAGTTGGAGCGACTGTGGAGAACAGATTTTGAAAACTGTGAAGTCGAGACGCGAGTTTGTGCATCGTTGGAAGACGAAAGGGCCCTAGAAATAATGGAGAGAACTCTTAAGATGGTAGATGGACACTTTCAGGTTGCCCTGCCTTGGCGACATGAGCCACCATTTTTACCTAACAACAGGGTAGTTGCAGAGCGAAGAGGTGTGCTTCTAAAGAAACGACTCCTGAAAGACGAAGCCTTGTTGGAGAAATACAAGACAACAATGGCTGATTACATTGAAAGTGGCCACGCTGAAAAGGTCCCCGATGAAGAGTTAGAGGTAAAGGACAGACCGGTGTGGTACCTACCTCATCATCCCGTAACTCACCCCTTAAAACCCGGCAAAGTGAGAGTAGTTTATGATTGTGCTGCCAAGTACGGAGGGACATCATTGAATCAACAACTTTTACAAGGACCTGATCAAACAAATCAATTAGTGGGTGTCCTTAGTCGCTTTAGACAAGAGCCCATTGGAGTGGTAGCTGACATTGAAGCGATGTTCCATCAGGTGTTGGTGGAACCTAAGGACTGTGACGCACTTAGATTTTTGTGGTGGCCCAATGGAGACTTGTCTCGAGAATTGGAAGAATATAGAATGGTGAAGCACCTATTTGGAGCCACATCTTCCCCGAGTATTGCTAATTTCTGTTTGAAAAAAACCGCCGAGTTACATAGAGAAGGGTTCGAGGAACAGACAGTGGAAACGGTGAAGCGTAACATGTATGTGGACGACATGATGAAGTCAACAAACACTACCGAGAAGGCAGTTGTGCTGGTGAGTCAACTCCAGGAGCTACTAAGAAGAGGTGGTTTCCATTTGACAAAGTGGTATAGCAATGACAGAGATGTGCTAGCAGCGATTCCAGAATCTGAAAGGGCCACGTCATTTGCAAACTTGGACTTGGAGAAACTGCCGACCGAATCTGCTCTAGGTCTCAAATGGAACACAGAGGAAGACAAATTTGTGTGGGAGGTCTTGGAGAAGATCCTTCAAGTTGCTAATCAGCGGCCAATGACACGCAGAGGAATAGTGTCAGCCGTTTATTCTCTCTTTGATCCCCTGGGTTTTATTGCACCATACATCATGAAAGCCAAACTGTTGTTGCAAGCCCTTAGTAGAAAGAACGTTGGTTGGGATGATCTCATTGGGGAGGCTGAGAAAATCCAGTGGAGGCGATGGCTGGACGATCTTCCCAAGTTACAGGAAGTGCAAGTAGATCGTTGTTTCAGACCCAGAGAGTTTGGCGAAGTAAGAGAAGTACAGTTACACCTTTTCTCAGACGCATCTCGTCAAGGATACGCATCGGTTGCATACCTCCGTGTGAAGGACGAGAACAGTCGAATTCATTGTGCATTCGTAATGGGAAAGGCGAGGTTAGCCCCAGTGCGCGAGATTTCAATTCCAAGGTTGGAATTGACAGCTGCAGTCATCTCCGTGAAACTCTCTAAGATTATCCGTGAAGAATTGGATATGAACTTCCAGAAAGTGTTCTACTGGACCGATTCAATGTCAGTGTTGAAGTGTATCAGCAACGAATCAAAAAGATTCCACACGTTCGAATCCAATCGTTTGACGGTGATACATAATGGATCTTCCCACTCCGTGGCATTATGTAAACAGAGATAATAATCCTGCAGATGATGGCTCAAAGGGACTTAAATTGGATGACATGTTAAAAAATGATCGTTGGTTGAGAGGTCCGGAGTTTCTTTGGGGAAATGAGAGCCTTTGGCCAAGGATGGTTGAAATTCCAGCATTGAAAGATGACGACCCTGAAGTCAGGAAGGAGGCTCAGATTTACACCGTTGTTGTTCAAAGTAAATACCTGGAGCCCTTAATAGCATGCTACTCGTCTTGGTGGAAGTTGAAAAGGGCTGTAGCCTGGTTGTTGCGGTACAAGGCGTACCTTTTACGGAAAGTTCAGCTGAGTAAGAGGAGCGCTTTAGTTTCGAGTGAATCCCAAGTCCAGAGCGGCGAAGTGCCATTCGTGAAATATGGCTACTTGAAGGTGGCAGAGCTTCAGGAGGCTGAGAAGGAAATCCTCAAGGAAGTACAGCAAGTGTCTTTCCCTCAAGTCATCGAGGTTCTCTCATCAGCAGGAAGTTGCAATGCAGATGGTTGTGTTAAAAGGGTCCTTCGAAAGGCAGGAACGGCGTTGCATCAGCTCAACCCACGCTTAGAGGATGGTTTGCTGAGGGTTCGTGGCCGACTAGCACTTGCCCCGGTTCCTTATGAGAAGAAACACCCTATTATCCTTCCCTACAAGCATCATGTGACGGATCTGATTATCAAGCAGTATCATGAGAGTTTGGGTCACATGGGTCAAGAATGTGTTTTGTCTTCTTTAAGAGAAACATTCTGGGTGGTCAAAGGAAGGTCAGCAGTGCGACGAGTGTTAAGGAGATGTATAGACTGTCAGCGAAGAAACACACGCCCGGGAGAGCAGTTTATGGCAAATTTACCTGAAGAGAGGCTAACCCCTGACAAGCCACCATTCACATTTGTTGGTGTCGATTATTTCGGGCCGATTGAAGTAAAGCAGGGCAGATCCCATGTGAAAAGGTATGGATGCCTATTTACGTGTTTGACAATGCGAGCGGTCCATATAGAAGTGGCCCATTCCTTGGACACTGACTCAATGATAAATGCACTCAGAAGATTCATCAGTATTCGTGGTTGTCCTGAGCAGATAAGAAGTGATCGAGGTACAAACTTTACTAGCGCAGAAAGGGAGTTAAAGGAAGCCATAGAGGGATGGAATCAGCAGAAGATCAACAGTTTTTGTGGACAGAAGATGATAGAATGGATTTTCAATCCACCAGCGGCGAGCCACATGGGCGGCATCTGGGAGCGGATGATACGTTCTGTGCGCCAGGTCTTGCGAGCGATGTTGAAGGAGCAGGTAGTCTCCGATGAGGTCCTCTCAACCGTTTTGGCAGAGGTGACGAATATTCTCAATTCCAGACCCCTCTCAAGAAATAGCGACAGTCCTTTAGACGAACAACCATTAACCCCTAATCATTTGTTGCATCTGCGCCCGTGCCCAAGTGTACCTCCAGGGGTCTTCGACAAGGACGACCTCACCTGCAGACGTGCTTGGAGGCAAGCACAGTATCTTGCCAATTTGTTCTGGCGTAGGTGGACGAGGGAGTACCTGCCCACTCTGTTAGACAGGAAGAAGTGGACTGAGCCAAAAAGGAATTTACAAGTTGGTGACTTGGTGCTTGTAGCAGACGAAACCTTTTCAGAGGGAAGTGGCCGCTTGGAAGAGTTGTGGAAGTTATTGCGAGCCGCGATGGGTGGGTGCGCGCAGCGAAGGTGAAGACAAGTGCAACAGTAGCAACATGTGCCAAACGACGGTACAGAAGAGAACCTGTGACCGCAGCCAGTACCACCATACTTACACGCCCAGTTACAAAGTTATGTTTTCTGGAGATGGATGGAGTGGCCGATAGAGTAGGACCAGTTTAAGTGACTTTGCAGCAGTGCAAGGAGATGATTTAATGAACGTTGATATGAACATTGGCTTTGATAGTCATGAACAGTGATTCTAATCATTCCTTTATAACGTTGTGTTTAGTTGCAGTCGGTAGCTTATGTTTGTAAATGAGATTGCTGTCGGTGCATTCTCATTTAGGGGCCGGTGTAACTACCGACCGTCGTCAGTTTATTTTATTCTATTTGTTTTATTTTTCCCCTTTTTTTTTTTTTTTTTTTTGCATATCTGCGTTTTGGTTCGCACTTCCGGTCACATGATAGTCATGTGACCGGAGAGCACATGGTAGAGCTAGGCGCCATTTTTTGTTGTTGTTTTTCTGCAAGAGCAAACAGTTCTTCAACGTACAAGTACAAGTACAAGTATAAGTATAAGGACACGTACACTGTATATTTAAAGTGACATTTTTGGAGCAAGTACAGGAAGCAGTATTCAGGGAATAAAGTGCTTTAACCAGGGTTCCGTTTGTGGAACTCACAATTCTCCAGGAACGAAGCTTAAATATTTTAAGCATTGGAAGTGGAAATGGGCAGACCGATTTGTCTTTCCTAAGAGTGATCAAGGAAGAATTGATAAAGACAGACCTCGGGCACAATGCGAAGATCTTCAACCGAGCCATTGAACCTAACCTATGTTCGTGTGGCCTGTACAAAGCAGCCATTGAAAATTTGCCAAGTCCGCTAGACGATGGGAAAACGGCTTTTGACATCTGTCAGCAGTCCTTTGAAGAGTATCAACAAAGCCACAGAGAACCCCTCAGTTTCGACATCATACATTTCATACACAGCATATATTTTGTAGACATCGAGAAAGCTCTACTGCATTGTTTTGAAAAAGAACTCAGCAGTAAAGGAAAAATAATCTGTATCGCGTCCAGGCGAGATCTCATTTGTAACGTTGCGTCAAAACTGCAGCAAAAACTGCAGTGGCATGTGGGCAGTGAGATTTACGACGTAGTTGATAAAATGATCCAGATTGCCGACAAAAACGGATGGAAGATTGAGGTTCATGACCAGGAATATTCAATTGATGTCACCGAGGTCTTTGATCCGCATTCAATCGAAGGAAATCTGCTACTCGACTTCTTGACGCAAACACAAAATTTTCGTAATACTGAGGACAAAGAGTTTGTTGAAGAAACGTTGTCATTTATCAGAGATCTGACTTTTGTCAAAGACGGAAAATTGTTTGGAGAAAAGAAAGAATCTTTGGTGGTCATCTCTAACTAGTAACACAAACTATCGTGAGGTTTTTTTGAAATTGTATTGTTTTCTGTTTATTTTCTGCTTAGCGACTGAGGTGATAACGTTGCCCCAGCTTGACTGTAGTCTCTAGTTCAAGATGTTTCTTAAATTATCAAATCCTTAATTCGTCAGATTGAGGAGGCCAAACATTAATTTATTCTTTCTTCACAGTGATGGGAAACCTTTGTGAGTTATAACATATAAGTAAATAAATAAATATAAATCAGTATATTTAGTTTTCTTATCATTTATAAATTGTTGCGTGAGATCTTTACGTTGATCAGGATGTGTAAACAGGAAAAGCTATAGGAACAACTCTGACATACTCTCAGGTTTTTCTGTTCTGTTTTGGTAAACAGTATTTTTCACTTTCAAATCATAATTTGCGATGAACTGATTTAATTATAATCAGGCGTGGTCTATTGATAAACCGATAATCGATACCAATCAATAACAATTGATTTCAATCATCGATTAGTATCGATTTCTGATATCGATTGCTATCGCCTATTATCAGAAAAGACTTGTCTTTTAAGGAGTTCAAAATTGACGCGATGTTGCTTGTACGGTATTTTTGAATCATTGAGTTGTTAAAGTGTGCAATACTTTCAATCCATAAAAAAGTTTAAGAACAAAAACAGTAACACGACAAAAAGGTTTAGATGCAGTCGACAGCGCCGAATTGAATTCGGGCAATGGGGCACTCAACAAAGCTTTTTACGTGAGAATGTATCCCTTTCGTATGCATTCTATTGACAAATAGTACCCCTTTCACATACTTAGTTTAGATCTGCTGTGCATACACCGTCTTTCAAATATGAATAAATCACTAAACCATAGGAAGTTTCTTGTCTTTTTCATAGTCGTGAGATGCATTTGTTAGCCCTTTTATAGGTCCCTTTACAGACCTAAATAACAGGTTTCCTACTCTTTTATACACTTGTGAAATGCTTACCTTTTTATATTCTTGAAGCCTTTAAAAGGTACCCCTTCTGGGTGGAGCCTCCTTACATACGCCACTATCACTGAGGAGTACAACTGCCACCTCTTCAGGGGGGTTTAAATCGACATCTCAGAATCTATGAAAACAGCAAAACCACAACTGGAACGCCATAAAGACTACTTCTTGACTAGTGGCTGAAGTAAAATTGTTTACGAGATTTTCAGAATATCTGAACCGCATACTGCTCAGGATCAGTTATTTAACAGTTAATGAATGAGGCTGAGTATGTTATGAAGAATTATGGAGATCGAGGATGGTGTTAGGCGGATAACACCCTCCGAGATCGCCACAATTCTTCATATGATACGAAAGCCGAATTCAATATTTGTTTTATTATTCACTCAAAATAATTCCTAGTTTAAAAACATAGCTAAAACATGCTTACCTCCATCAATCCATCGATTTTCAGTTCATCTTCGATAGTGTACGTTTAGGTTTGTCCAGCTCAGCAAATATTCTCCAAATAGCAAATGTCGCCCTCCGAGTTGTCTTCTTGCTGTTTTTGCTATGTTTTTTAACTATAACTTCGCCTAGTTCCAGCTGCAGCACTTACTCTTGAAACGAGTGAAGTGTCGGCCATTTTTGTTTTCAGAACCCAAACAACTCAGCCTCGTCCCCAGGTCTTCTCGGTTAACGGTTCATTAATCTGTAGAAGGTTGCATTGTTCATGTCATTTCCTCGTTAAACACAAAATTCTTCCAAATTTGGTCATCAGTAACTGGTTATGGTGAATTAAACGTGTGCTTTTAGCCAATCAGAATCGGGGAAATATTTTGAATGAATAATAATGCTTGTTACTGATTATTTTGGTCAATCGATAACAATCGCTTTCTTTTTCTGTAACCGCTTCGATTGTTATCAACTGACAACGCCTGGTTGTAGCCACTGCGTACCTATTAAACTTCGGAATTTGTTTCTCCTACAAGTCATATCAAGTCATAATTCGACTTATATTTTACACTTAATGTCAGATCCCGAGGGAAACAGTTAGTTTTGTTTTCCCGAGAGTCCTGATGTTTCCCGAGACGAAGTCGAGAGAAACATCAGGACTCGAGGGAAAACAATAATTGGAAATATCAGGACTCGAGGGAAAACAATACTAACTGGTTTCCCAAGGGACCTGACATTAAGTGTTTTGTTATACTTCTAGACTTTCTCTTCAACAGCAACAAAAGAATAACGGGAGCGAATCAAAACAGTCCACTCGGTAGTTATAACAACACAAATTTAATTCTTAAAACCACTGAATGAATGATTTACAAAGTACTTTCCTTATATCATCTGCATCTTCTTCCTCCACTAGCTGCTGTTTCTCTTCGGGGATGACTTTAAAAATCGTTGCTTTGTAGCTTGAAGCTTCGTGTTTGTGTTCAAGTTGTTGTGTTCATTCATGAAAAGGAAAACTGGCAGTGTTTTTCCCGCCTTCTGTCACACCACTTTCCACCATGCTTTGATCACGTGTTGTACTGTAGCCCGAGCGGGGTACATTGCTTAATGAATCATGATCGGGATAAATAGTCAAGGCCACGTGATATAATTGGCTGTGCGTCTTAGGCCCGGATCAAATATCGCGTAGTAACTTTAGGTTCGGCACATTTAAGTTCGACGTTTGTGACCTGATGTTACACGGGATGATTCGCAACGAAAAGTTACATTGTTCTAACTCGTCGTTGCAGATCGTCCCGTTTTGTATCATCTACAAGTAGTCTATTCCAGGCTCTCGGATGGTAGGGATGTGGTTATCGCTGCCCATACTGTCTTGGAGCCTGGCTGTTTCTTACGGGGATCAGTTACAACTTCATCCCTTTTAAGACCCGTTGTTTTCGGGACCAAGCGTCAATTCTGGGGAAAAAAGGACCTAGGCAAGGAGAGGCAAGTTCTTCCTAGCCAGTTAACCGGTTCTAAACTCATAGTTTCGTTAATGTCAGCTCGAAATCTTTGAGTTTACGTTAACTGCTGCAGAATTCTCAGAAGATAGGCTGACTTAACGCTTCGCTGTTAAAGTTTGGCGTGAAAGGTCTATTGTGAATCCTCCAGCAGATGGCTGACCAAAGCAAATGTGTGCTGAAGCTGACCTTGCCCATAAAGATAAAATGATGTTCAGTACAGTTTGAATTTAATAACTCGAAAGGAGTTTAAAACGGGGACGATTTTAAGTGTTGATTTTACTTACACAAAGGTTGAATGAGCTAAATTTGATTGAAAAATTTCTTGTATACTTTACAAAGATTAAGTCAAATCTGATTTTGATTTTGAACAGAATTTTGCTTTGGTGTTAAATGTATCTAGGTCTCGAAGTTGGTACATTGCGTCGCGTTGGGTTGCGATGCGTTGCACTGCGTTGCGCGGTTTACAGCAAGCCTTCTCGAGTTCATCACAAGCAAGTCGCACTGACACTCGATGTAGTCGTTGTCAAATCGAAGGGTTACCAAAGGCCAATCATGAATCAGAGAGCTAAACTTGTTTTGTCACATATGTAGTGAAAACGTCTCTCTAACCCTAACAAAATACACTTTCTGATTTGCCAGGATCCAATCACGGACTTCTCCTTTCCCATACGGAAAACTGACTGGTTTTGATTTGAAAAGATCGCGCAGAAGCGAAACTACATAAAGGAACTTATCTATAAACTGAAAGCAGGCGCCGATAGTGCAGGTGACACTTGAAGATACCTTGAAGTCCAGCTTCTCAGTCCCGGTAGGACTGAGACAAGCCTATACCCAAGACGCTTCCGGTTTGGTTTTGTTGCTGTTAATTAAAGAGTCAAGCATATTTATTGTGGCAGTCAGTGTGCTTTACATGTCAACACCGGCAAGCTCGACCGCTGCATTTTGTAGCGTCGAAAACAACGTTGGAAATTTCTAATTCTCCATGCGGCACAAGTTATAATTCACATGATCATCACTTCAGACTCTTCTGCTAGGTCTCTTCAGGTTAATTATGGAGCCCCGATTTCAGTTCGAGAACAAGTTTCGACGTTCAGCAAATAGGTATACCGCACTGATTTCGTAGAAATCATTCATTTAAAACACTTGCTATGATCTGACTGAGGACGAAAGAACACAGCGTAGCCTGTCTGTCGCAGTTAGATGGTGATCTTCGCTGATTCGTTTGTAGACCGAAGGAAAAACAAAGACCATGGGAAGTTATAACTGCGCCACATATCGTCAAAGTTGACTCTAGGAGGACAAGGTTTAATGTCAGTTCAATATTAACTCAGTAATGAAACTTATCAGTTCTTAAATGTATGGCAAGAAGAATGCCGCTTCGTTTTGTATTGCCCTTTCGTTTAATAACTGATGGTAGTAAAATTAGTATTTGAATATGTATTTGGGTATAGTCCATCTTGTTTTCGTTACAAACTTCTATAGCTACGGTACTGGTACTGGAGGTTGAGGTAATTTCATGCAGAGTTAAATGATTTTATATTGTATATATTTATTGGCGAAAAAGGAATGAACAAGACAAGAAATGTTCGTATTACCAGGCGCTGAAATTTTCCGAAAATAAAGGAAATTTATCATCTGTGTGTAGATGACAGTTGTTCTTGTATTCTGTCAGAAAATGCTTTTTGCAAAGGAATTCTCCTGGTTCGCAGAAATCTGAAATCAGGGTCTATTTTCATTCCGCTTATGGAAGCTTCTAAAATTGGGCCTGATTTCAGGTTAGTTCCGCCGGCATTTTAAAAACCCAGAAGCCCATGGGGACGAGGTTGCTGCCGGCCGCCAGCACTAACCACACCACTTAAAAGTAAGACGGGCAACAAAACTGACGTGCAACTTGTTTTGCATCATTGCTACAAAACGAGTTGAAAAGTGATGCGCGTTTGACCACCCACGTTTAAGCCTGTCTTGCAACAAATCAGCTTGTTGCAAGTTGCGTGAATACTAACCTCTGATTGGATAAAATTACGTAAGAGTCACGCCATACACAGGAATTACAACAAGTTTGTTTTAACCGGTTAAACGCGCAACATGTACAG